CCACCTGTAAGAAGTGCTGGAAGGTGGGAGGTTTTGCTTGGTGACAGGAGCAGGTGAGGAATAGCCTAGAGACCAGGAGTGAACATAAGCAACTTTGGGAGGTGGCTGGACATTGACACAATTTCATGGGTGTTATAATCACAGGCCATGGGAGGAACTTACTCCTGACATGGGGCTCAGCTGTGTAAATGTGGAGAGGCACAGGCAGTTGGCATCCATTCTGCAAGCTAGTATGCCATGCCATCCATCAGTGCTACCTTGCACATGCATCCTAGATCTTGGGCCCAGAGAGATAGGTAGCTCTCTGGGTTAGAGCATGGGGCAGGTGAGACATTCACTGCTTTGTGGGCCCAAGGCGAGGTGTGAAGAGCTACAGTCAAGGAATCTTAAGGCCCAAAAGTAAAATAAAATAGGGTGCAAAGGTGGAGTTGGTGGGTGCAGTGCCACACCCTTCTAGTTACTAGTTCTGGTGTTCAGGGATGGTGTAGACCTCCACTTGATGCGTGTCCCTGTCTTGCTGGCCCAGGCCCTTCATTTGTACTTAGGAGATTATAGACTTTTGCCTCCAATTTCCTGAGTTCATCTTGTCCAATGAACTCAGGAAAGACTGGAAGAGGGGAGGAAGGAAAGACTGTAATTTTAAAAGCTTGTGTGTTAGCTAACAGTAGTTACAGCCTTGATTAAGCGGTCATTGTATTCAGGAGTGCTCACTGCTTCCAAGGCATCTTACAATACTAGTTTACAGCAGAGACTCAGCGGTTGCCTGAGGTTGAGTTAATCCTCGCCTCAGTGTCTGGGCCAAGGTGTTTATTCCTGCCCAGTAAAACTTGGCAGTGGAGTGTTTAACAGCTGCCTGTGTTTGATCGAGGTTGATCGAGTTGATGTGAAAATAAAAGAGAGGAGAGAGGCCTATGTAGAAGCAGGTTGTCTTTAATGAAAGCTATAAGGGGGGAGGGGAGGTCTTTCAGGGGTGGAGTCTGTGTGCCCAAGGGGGTGGGGCTGTACCCAAGGGGGTGGAGCCTGTGCATCCAAGGGGGTGGATGTACCCAAATTGGTAGAGTGTGTGCTCAAGGGGGAAAAAGGATGGATTGGTGGATTTACACATTTGCTATAATATAGTCAGTTATACCTTTCTTGCTGTTGTCAGTTATTGTGAGGCAGGGTCTTGCTTAATAGCTGTGCTAGCTACTTTTCTGTCAACTTGACACAGGCTAGAGTCTTTGGAGAGGAGGGAGACTTAATTGACAATGCTTCAGTAAGGTGGGGCTATTGGCAAGCCTCTAGGGCATTTTCTGAATTAGTGATTGATAGAGGAGGGTCCAGCCCATTGTAGGTGGTGTCACCTCTGGGCTGGTGGTTCTGGGTTCTATAAGAAAGCCATGAGGAGCAAGCCAGTAAGCAGCGCCCTCCATGGTCTCTGTATCAGCTCCTGCCTCCAGGTTTCTGCCCTGCTTGTGTTCTTGTCCTGACTTCCTTCAGTGATAAACTACTAGCCAAATAAACCTTTTCCTCCCCAACTTTCTTTTGGTCATGGTGTTTCACTATAGCGACAGTAACTCTGACTAAGACAACAGTCCAGACTGGATTTGAACTTGGAATCCTGCTATCTCAGCCTCTAGAGTGCTGTGGTCACAGGCATGAGCCACACCACATGCAGGTATTATTCACTGTATAACTGAATCCTAGTGTCCAGATGGTTAGAGGACGTTTGTTGATTGTCCCACTCTCGGGCCACACCCCATTCTGGGAGCCGTGTAGCGCTAGTTTTTAGAACCTACCAGATGCAGGTAGGGCCTGCAAGTGCCAGAAGAAATTCAGAACAGGGAAAGCCTAGGGAGTGATGGGAAGAGGAAAGGAATGATCAATTTCTGCTGGGAACAGTAGAGTTTGAGTTCTGCTGGGAGGGAAACAGCGCTGGACAGAGGACATTACAACCAGGGAACAGATTGAGGACAAGTACTGAATTGGGGAAGCAGAGTTAAGGAGGCTGAATGGAGAGATGAAAGCTGCAGATGACAGGCACTGGGCTGAGAGCAGTCACCTCATGCACAAATAAGCAGTTTGGTATCCCTTAGCAATATGGTTCTAGGTAAGTCTGGTAAGACTGAAGGAGGGCTTGGCACAGCCAGGGCCTAGAAGCCTGTGGCAGGGAGCAAGAGATGCAATCAGTGCTCTGTAAGGAGAAGGCATTGGGGTGGCTGGGACATGGGTGTAGTTGTGGAGTACCTGGCAGGGCGAGATTGCTTGACCTAGCGAGGCTTTGTGGTGCAGAGCCAAGGGACATGGCAGACCACTCCCTGGTGAAGTGGAGGGAACAGGAACACAGAGGATTATATAGTCAAGAGCTCCCCAAGGGATCAGCCTTGATCCTTGGCCTTGCAGGAGGGAGGGGTAAGCGTCTGCAGAGCCCTGTGTCCCTGCAGGGTCTTGCTGTCTGTCCACAGTGGAAACCCAGGTTCAATTGCTCCCAGGATTTAATCACAGGCAAAGGCTACTTCATTACTGTCACCCAAAGGCCTCGATTTCAACAGAGCTTTGCAATATTTAAAAGTTGATCCGTTAAAGTTAATCCTCACAGGTCACGGCAGATTTCAGTGTGCCTTGGGCTGATGCCAGGCCCATGACACATGCTGACTCACCTAATACTAAAGCAACGTTACTCAAAAATTCGTTTTAGGAATGACAGTCATTAATGAAGCTCTCATTTGGCTGTGTGGGGTTTTTTTTGTTTTTTTTGGGTTTTTTTTTGTTTTGTTTTTTTTTTTTTTTTTTTTTTTTTTTTTTTTTTTTTTTTTTTTGTGGTTGCTGTTTTTGTTTTTATGCCAGGATCGTTGCATGCATTTGCAGTATTGTGCAAGTAAGTTCCAAACTCACCTGAAAATTTCATGTGCTAAGGGCCTAGGAAATGACTCAGCAGGTAAAGTGTCTGCTGCCAGCTGAGCCTGAGAACCCAAATTTATTAATCCCTGGAACCTACATTAAAAGGAGAGAATGGGTTCCGATAAGTTACCTCTGACCTTCACACACTTGCCATGACATCCACATGCCCCTCCTCCCAAATAGTAACTAAAGTTTTATATGCTGATATTACTGTCTAGTAACCCACATTCCATATTGTCTTTTGTTGGGGATAGGGGGTCTCACTATGTAGTCCAGGATGCCTAGGAACTTTCAGAGATCCACCTGCCTCTGCCTCCTGAGTACTGGGATTAAAGGCATGCGCTGCCAAGCCCAGATATATTCCAGATTGTCTTTTTTTAAATGGTGCATATGTTTTATCTTCCTATTCAAGGTAGCTATACTGAAAAGTAAGTTCCCTTTGCTAGGGTTGAGTGTGAATGCTGAGGTTCTACCGTCCATCCTTTCTCCTGTTTCCTGTCCATTCCTGTGACACAGACATAGGACCTGCTGACATAGTGTGGCAGAGGTTTGCTGATGTGGGGGTGGGGTAGGCTGAGCCCAGGAGGAAGCAAGGGCCTCTCAAGCTTATATCCATGTGGGAAGGCATCTTGGGGTTCAGGGCTTGCCTCTGTGCTTCCAGGCTAGAGATTTACTGTTCACACTCAGCTTACATTTGAGGTACCCTTGAAGCAGCCCTGCTTGCCCATGGAGAACCCCAAGTATGTCAGGAAATTTTGACTCCCTAAAACTTGTTGCATGGTGACAACTCAAGACAGCATTTCTGGGCTCTTGCTGCAGGGAGAAAGGGGGGCTGGCTCCTTGACTCCTGCCCTTCCCTTTCTCAGCTTTCTGCTTTTTCCTCTTTCCAGCTGCAGCAGACACACACACACACACACACACACACACACACACACACACACACACACTCACTCACTCACTCACTTGGATGCTCAGAACTGCACCACGCTCACACATGCCCCCTCTCTCACACACTCTCACTGACACACAGTCCTCTGTAACATTTAACCCCTGCATACTGTTTCTTTTTTTTTTTTTAAAACATGAGAAGTTGCAGTTACCTTTATTTTTTTAATCAATTTATTTTTATTTTATGTGCATTGGTGTTTTGCTGCGTGCATGTCTCTGTGAGGATGTCAGATCTTGGAGTTACATACAGTTGTGAGCTGCCGTATGGGTGCCAGGAATTGAACTCGGGACCTGTGGAAGAACAGTCAGTGCTCTTAACCGCCGAGCCACCTCTCCAGCCCCACATACTCATCGCCTTCAGCATTGACTCACACGCCTTTCTCAGTTGACAGAAACCTGCCGATCTGCCTTCCTCTCATGCCCATGTTGGGAGCATGCTGGCTGGGTCCCACATAGCCCTGAGTGGGCTGATAGCAGTGCCCTTAAGAAATAGGCTGTGCCCTTTTGTTCCAGGCTCTTGAGTGATTGAGTCTCTCACTGACTGAGATAGGTTTAGGTTTTACTCATTGTAACTTTTCACAGTTTAACAAAGGCTCCTAGGTTAGAAGCATACAGACCTGGGTCTTTCATTAGCTGTGTGCTCACTTTCACTTCTGAAACAAAATGAGTGAGTGGATGAGGCCACCACACTGTGCTGGCCAGGCTGGCCAGTGTCCTTTCCCAGCACCCTTGTCATCTGTCTTTTCTTGGCTTAGAGAGGACATTTGTAGATGGAAGTTTCTGTCCCACCTGCTCCTGCAGCCATGTAGTCCCAAGTAAACACACAGAGGCTTATATTAATTATAAACTGTTTGACCGATGGTTCAGCTTCTTATTGGCTAGCTCTCTCCTAATTATTAGCCCATTTCTGTTAATCAGTGGCTGGTCTTGGCTTACTGGAGAATGCCCAGTCATCCTACCTTCCCGCTAGCTACATGGCGTCTCTTTGCGGCTCACTCTCTGTGTTCCTCTTCCCAGCCCTTCTAGTCTGGTAGCTCTGCCTATACTCCCTGTCTAGCCACATTGTGCCTGTCTGTTGGCCGAAACAGCTTTGTACATCAACCAGTAAGAGAAACATATATTTACAGCACACAGATCTGATGTTGACGATATTTTCTGTTTTTCCTCCTTAGATTCAGAATATGAACAACATCATCTCCTTCCCTTTGGACAGCCTGCTGAAAGGAGACTTGAAAGGAGTCAAAGGGGTACGATCAAGTCCTGATGTTCTGACATCACGGGAGTCACAGCGGCATTGGCTGTCACCCCCACCCGTCACACGAGGCCACAGGGATGGCGTCTGCTTTGTTTCCTTTCATTTGATGTTTTGATGCCACCTTATGCAGCAGAAGCTGCGCCTCTTGCCCTGTGGACTCTCCTATTGCTGGTGCTGCATGGTAAAGGGAGAACACAGAAGGAGGAGATGAGCCAGTTGGAGACTAACACACCAGAGGGTTCCCTGGGGCCGCTGTAGCACAGAGAGGCAGTGGAATCTGCTTTCCCAGCCGCCATGTTGTGCTTCACTTCTAGGAAAGGATCCTAGCAAGGACAGAACTCTCATAAGCATGAGCGACTATGTGTCTTGCCCTCTGGAAAGGCCTGGATGTTTACACCCCTGAGGCCTTGTAGTACTTAGTAAATGCAAGAACTATTATTAGTCTCAGGGCTGGAGGGATGTTTGACAATGTCCTTGAGAGACCCAGGTCTTTGTATGTGCATGTGATGGCTGGGTCTCATCTAGGCACATCTGGAAGCCTGTCTGGACCATCTTGAGGGCCTCCTGCTGTGTCCCTTGGAAAGCATGCAAGGAGAGAACTGTTAGGACAAGGGACATTACATGTTTTCCCTGAGCAGGCCGGGAAATCAGGACAGCTGATTTACCAGGAAACAAACAGCAAACAAACAAAAAGCAAGGGGTAGGAGGTTGCCTTCCTTGGAGGAAAGACACATCCCCTAGTGACAGCATGGATCCACACCATGTGTCTGGCTGTCAGGAGCAAAAGGGCAATTTCACAAAGACCTTCCATGGCCACTGGAGACACAAACATCAAACACAAAAGAGAATGTTGTTGAAGGGAAACAGAACTGTGTGGGAACCGTTTGACAGGCTTGGAAGCCTCAGTAATTTTTTTTTTAATTACTAGCCACGCCTTATTAGAGATCTGAATCTTCAGCTCTCAACACTGAGTGCAGAAGGGAAGCCCAGGGAAACAGGAGAATAGGATGAAGGTGGATGTGAATATGGACGATGGGCACGTTGTAGAACCTGCTTTTGGGTGTGGCTTGTATATTCTGTAATGCGTTTTTTAAAATGAGAAAAGGTAGCCAGCCCACTCCTAGTCTCAAAGCTTCTTACTATATTTTTTTTTTTAAAATAAGATCCCATACATGACTTTTTTCAGAGCCTAGTGAATGTACAGAACCAGTCTAGGGATACAGATGTTTGCCCTGCACACAAGTTAATGATTAAATAAACTTACTTGCTGCCCCTCTGTTTACAGGATCTGAAAAAGCCCTTTGATAAAGCTTGGAAGGACTATGAAACCAAAATGTGAGTGTCTTTGTTTTTATTTATTGTTATTTTTAAGTAGATGTAGGTAATTTGAGATTTCAGTTTTAAATCAGGTTTTTGTTGCTTGAAGGAGTTGTCTAAATAAACCTAATCCAGGAAAGAATTTGCCTAAAGCTGTGTTGCATGATGGCACATGATGCCAGGTGTGTCTGTTGTCTGCGTTCAGGGGTGGTGGCTTCTTCCACAAGCTCCTTGGTGTCTTGGTGGTTCTAGAGCAGTATTTCCTGTTAGGTCTTCCTGGTGACTCATTAAACAAACAAACAAACCAACCAACCAGAGCTGGGTAGACAGCTCAGTGATAAACCATTGACTATGCAGATGTGAAGGCCGGAGTTTGAGTCCTCAGAGCCCATGTCAAAAGCCAGCTGCAGTGGTGGGCCTGTGATTGCAGTGTTCCTGGGTAAGATGGGAGGTAGACACTGGAGAGCCAGGTTAACCCTTATACAGTGGCAAACAAGCCTCTGTCTCACACGGGGCAAAAACCAAGGACTGACACCTGAGGCTATGCTCTGACCCACGCCTTCCTGCCAGGGTCCACACACAGACACGGGCACACCTGCACACGCAAAGGTGTTGTTTTGTCTTTTGAAGTGTGCTCTTAGCTTTGGGTCCTTGTTTAATCTGAAATGCCGGATCTTGTTTTTAGGACTTTAAGCCCCACTGCCTCATTTTCACTTGGTTTCTATGTTGCTAGGGAAGGATGTAGTGCTTAGGGCTCCTTGACCCTGAGACCTGAGCCATGGTGTCTGCTGAAGGCCAGTCCGTTCTTGGCTAGCTACAGGCAGATAGAACATTTCTCATCAGTTTTTCATTCCCAAGGCAGGGAGAATAAGGCCAGCTAGAAAAAGCTAGTGACTGAGGAGGGGGAGGGAGAGGGGGCTGCTTAAAGGTTTCAGTTATTTAAATGAGGGAGAAATGGACAATTTCTTCAAATGCCTTGTGTTGAAATGCCTGGGGGCCGGAGGCATTCCTGATTGGAAAGACACTTCGTACGGAGGCATCCAGTGAAGAGAAGGATGTTAGGAAGGAGTCATTGCGGATGCCACCCTGGGGTTTTTCTTCCATTAATGAAAGATCGCAAAGCACAAATCCAGTGTCACACCTTGATACTCCACCTGCGGGGCATACTACATTTCTGTCTGGAAATCGCCTTGCTATCCCGCCTGGAGTTTCACTGATGGCACCCACTCATACACTCAGAAGGAGTAGAATGAAACTGGGAGACCTAGAAGGTCTGTTCACCCCAGAGAGACTGCCAACCATTACCCCTGGCCACTTACCCTTTTAACTGTGCCAAGTAGTACCACATTGCTACTACTACTTACTGGGGCTGCCACTTGCTTGCCCACCATCAAGAAGTTATTCTTTATCCACGAACATGGACAGTTCCTCTATCTCAAGAAGCCTTGCCATGCATAACTAGATTTTAGATGTCTTCAGGGTTCCTCTGCAGTAGCTCTGTACTGAATAATTAGATGCATGGCAAGTGACTGCACAATGGTATAAGGGTCTAGAGGCTGTAGTTCTCCATGGTCACAGGTCCATTAAGGTGCCCGAATTCACTGGACAATGCCCCTGCCAAATGACCTCCTACCTTTCATGTTCTTGTCACCGTCAGAGTATTAGGTTTACCTTGTGTGCCCGGACAGAAGTGTATCTTCCACATACAAACACAGACACACGTGCACACCCTCTGCCTCCTGTGACGGGAACCCTGATAGCCTGTTTAATCATAAACAGCTTTAAAAGAAAATGCCAGCCATGTCTCCATGTGTGAGCCAAGGCCCGGCAGGAAGTGACTCTGGTGCTTTCCATGGCCCATGTGACTCTGTGACATGGTTTCCCTTGGTGATGGTTCTCGGTGTGTGTCTAGCTGGCCGGGTTATACCTGAACTGCACAGATGACATTTAGGTAATGTAGCTCAGCAGGAAGTCACCGTGGAAAGGGACATGAAGGAAGAGAATGGATAAACGGATAAACAGGGTGATGCTATAGTGAGAAAGCACCATGCAAGCCAGAATAGCATGTGACTCTGCTAAAGGAGGCACAGAGAATGCTAGTGGAGGTCTCTAGAGAGAGACTGGCGGAAGTGCAAGGCCTGTGTGGGTCCTCCATTTCAGACACAGATCACATCCAACAGGTGCTTAGGCGGTATCTGTTGAGTGAGCAGAGGGAAGGCCAACTGTGACACTTTCCCATGACAACACAGTTTGCTCTCTGCTAGAGTTGAGATGTCACCTGCTCTGAAGAGCGTAGAGAGAGTTTGTCTCAGCAGATGATTCTGAGGCTGTCTGTCCAGTGGGGAGTGCTGTGCGAGCTGCCTCTTGACTTACCCTTGCTTTTTCTTCACACACAGAACAAAAATAGAAAAGGAGAAGAAGGAGCACGCCAAGCTGCACGGGATGATCCGTACTGAGATAAGCGGGGCTGAAATCGCAGAGGAAATGGAGAAGGAAAGGCGATTCTTCCAACTGCAGATGTGTGAGGTAAGACTCTGGGAAGGGAAAGCTGGCCAGGCTGGGCCACAGGCACAGACATCCTCTCCAATGTGGTCTTCTCCCAGAGACCGTGGCTTTCCTGACAGCTGGGCTGCATTTCCATGCTAAAGGTTTGTTTCCTCCCTGGTGTGCGGGTTTAGGTTAGTCTCACACTAGCCATCTTTACGGAGAGAGACTGCAGGAGATGCGACTTAGGGTTAAGGGACTTGCTGCTTAGTCATGAGGACCTGAGTTTGGATCTCTGCACCCAGGGCAGGCTGTCCACAGCTCCAATTCCAACTCCAAGGGCTCTGACACCCTCTTCTGGCCTCCAGATGGACCTGCACCACATGCATGTGAACACACACACACACACACACACACACACACACACACACACACACACACACACACACACACACAGAACCCTCCCTCCATCCCCTTTTTTTAAATAGAAGAGGGAACTTCAGAATGTCCTCTCTGGCCTCCCGTACTTTCTCACAAGAGTTGGCTGGAATACTTTTTCTTCGATGATTTTAAGAGCTCTTATTATACCTCTGGAAGTTGGCGAAAGAGAGGGAGGCATGAAGAGTCAGCCAGAAGACATCCATAGCACCCACAGCATCCTTGCTGTCACATTCCCAGACACCACCTGACCTAGGGCTCTTGCTTCCTGTGGCCTTGGCCTGTGTCTTGGAGAAGGACAGAGGGGAACTGGCTCCAGGAGTCTTTATCTAGGTCAGGTTCTGAGGAGCGTGAAGGCCTTTGTGTGTGAGAAAATGGCTCCGTCTGTCCCTGGAGCCTGTGTTAGGTTAACTCCAGCCCAGTGGTACTTGTTATACCTCTAAAACAGGGCACTATTTAAAAAAAAAAGCCATTGTAGACCTTCCTTCCTCTTCTTTATATGCTTTATGGATTGTCTCTTACAGTGAGTTCCGGTAAGCAGAATTTCCGGGTCAAAGAGCGTACACATTTTAAGTCTTGATACATTGCCAAACATTTTATTAATGATTATATTGTTTTGGTCCATTGCCAGGTATCCAATTAATGTGAATAACTATCAGAATGAAAGGAGAACAGGACACATAGGCAGTTCTTACAGTTATGGTTTCAGAACAGTTTCCTGTCCCCTCACTGGCTTGCACAGTTGGCCTAGGAGGTTCTTGGACTTGGGCTCACCCTGAGACAGCTGGGAACTCACAGGGTTCACTAAGGGTGGCAGGTTTTTCTGGGCCTTCCTGTCTTGAACAGGAGAGGCACTCACTCTGGATTCCTTTATTCCTTTTTTCTTTTTTTAGACAATTTATTTTCATTTTATGGGCATTGGTGTTTTGCTTGCATGTTTGTCTGTGTGAAGGTGTCAGATCTTGGCATTACAGCAGTTGTGAGCTGGCATGTGGGTGCTGGGAATTGAACCCGGGTCCTCTGAGAGAAAAGCCAGTGGTCTTAACCGAAGAGCTAACTGAGCCATCTCTCCATACCACCGCATTACAGCAAGGGGAAAGGGGTTTTGTAGAGACCTTGTTCTGTATAGTTTTAGGAAGGGACAGGTGCATTTTATAATGTCAGGGCTTCCTGATGAGAGGTCCCTCATGGATTCTCCAGGTTAGAGGTGGCTTTGATACAATTTAATTTAAAAACTCACCTTTCGGCACTCATATATAAGGGAACTGCTTTGGGTCAGCAACACGGTAACAAAATGTCAGCTCCTGGATGCTAGCTAGCAGTTAGTGTGGAGCTGACAAATGAAGGGACTTGAAGCTGGGTGTGGTGGCACATGCCATTGATCTCAGTTCCAGGACAGCCAGGGAGGACACTGTCTCAAACTAAATGAGCAGGGACCTGGGTCGAAGAAGACACATAGGAAGCTCCAAGAGAGTTAGACCTTCCTTCTCATTGCAGGCGTTCCTCCTCCCATGCATCTAGAGTGAGCTTGTCCTGGCTGGGTATGGTAGACTATCTAGTTAGCAGGATGTGTGGTCCTTAAACATTGGATTACCTGGCCAGCATAACCATGTAGTCACGTTTGCAGAAAGCACCCAGCGGCTACCACAGATCCTGCCCAGCCTGCTAGCTGTTAAAGAAACCAAGAGAGAGTCAGTCTTGAACAAGTGCGGCTCAGTTGGCTTCATGCACACCTAGTGTGCACAGGGCCCTGGGATCGTCTCCAGCCCTGCATAAGCCAGGTGTGGTATTTAACACCTGTATCCCAGCACTTGGGAGGAGGGAGCAAGGGGATCAGAAATTCAAGGTACTCCTTGACTGTATAATGAGTTCAAGGCTAGCCTAGGCTACAGGTGACCCTGTTACACAAGAGCTCCTGATGTCATCCCAGCTGCTGATTTCTGCGATCTCTCTTCCTTGTTTCTCAACAGTATCTGCTGAAGGTCAATGAAATCAAGGTTAAAAAGGGAGTGGATTTGCTTCAGAATTTGATCAAGTACTTCCACGCCCAGTGCAAGTAAGTGCCCCTTCTTTATGGTGTCTTTTAATGCTCCTCCATGGATGGCAGTTACCAATTGATATCTTTGTGTTGAGAAAATAAACACTCACTTGGAAATTACTCTGTGTGTGTGTGTGTGTGTGTGTGTGTGTGTGTGTGTGTGTGTGAGAGAGAGAGAGAGAGAGAGAGAGAGAGAGAGAGAGAGAGAGAGAGAGAGAGAGAGACTATAACTAAATAGTATCTCACTTTTGGCCTTGCATGTGTGTGGGCCCAGGTTCAATTCCCAGAACTTGGAAAAGAAAGAAAGAATTATCGTGAGCTGGGGTTGGGGATGTAGCTGAGTTTGTAGAGTGTTTGCCTAGCATTCGGGGGGGGGGGGGTGTCTTGGGTTTAATTTCCAGTCCTATATAAACCAGTGTGGTGGTACACATCCATAACCCTGGTGCTCCTAGGAGGTAGAGGCAGAAGGAGCAGAAGTTTAAGGTCATCCTTGGCTATGTAGAGACCAGCCTGGGCTACATGGGATCCTGTCAATGAATGAATGAATGACTATGGGAGGAAAGAAGTGCCCAGAATACAACACAGATGGGCCTTGACTATGTAGAGGGTAGGGAACCAGAGACATAAGATCACATTGTATGACTCTGTGTATTTGGCAAGCCAGGGACAAAAGCACGTTTACAGACAGAAGGCAGCTTAAGCAGTTACCATAGAAAAGGAAGTGTGCCCTTGCTTTGGGAGGTGACAGAAACCTTCTAATTGATGCTGATTACACAGCACTATCAGGATTCTGAGATCTACTGCAGTGTACATTTCAAAGAGCCATATCATGGCTTGAGGATTGTGTCTCAATAAAAAAAATAAAAGTGTGGATACAGTATTTTAAAATTGACAATAATTTTCAAATACATTTTCTCCCCCTTTTTGTAGAGGGCAAACTTGTTTAACCTGACATATGGCCCCTGATTTTGTTTGTTTAGAAGGGAAATGGTATTGATTTGATGAATTATATTTAGACAGTACTTTCATACATTGCTGGTCTTAGAAAGTCTATAGGAAAGAAAGAGAAACCTCATGTTCTGGGCGCTTCACTTTGCTATGGAGGTCAACCTTCTACACGGTTCCTGTTTCTGTCACAGGCCCCTGACCACTGGCATGAGTACACACCCATGACATCTTTGCTCACTCACCCGGTAGACTTTGATGGAGCCCGTGTTTGTGTAAGGCTTTATGCAAGGTTCTAAAATAAAGGATGTGGTTGGGGAGATGAACTTAGGAATCGGGTGTTTGCAGAAGTGTTCTTGAGGCAGGAGCTCAGCAGTTAAGAGTACTGTCTCCTCTTCCAGAATACTCAGGTTCAATTCCCAGCACCCACATGGCAGTTCACAACCACCTGTAACTCCAGTTCCAGGGGATCCGACTCGTCTTTTGACGGCTGAAGGCTCCTGCAGGCATGTGGTGGGCATACATACACTCAGGTACACACACATACACACACACATACAGTTAAACAGATACATCATTTGAAAGAGTAGCCTCAGACAGTGGACTGCCATAGAGTAGTCTGGGATGACATAGCAGGGATGGACTTTTGAGAAATCCTTCGGAGGTCAAGTTGCCACACCGGTTTGTTTACCTCTCCCTGAATGGGTTTTGCTGGCTGCTGGTGTCCCTGCTGCACTTGGAATGTCCTTCCCTGGAATGCCCTCTGGCTTCTGCTCCGGGCTTCAGGAGGCAGACACTTAGTCTGGTTGGCTCACGAGTAGCCCTGATGGATCAAGTCTCATCTCCCTGCCTCTGCAGCGCCCTCTGTGTGTGCCTCCCAGGTGCCATCTCCACGAATGCCTATGTTGAGGGGTGGGTGCTCTGAGTGGTCCAGCCACATATGTGCAACAGGGCCTTGTGTGCTGGCCCCGAGACTGCTTGGCTATTGATTCTCTGTGTGGCTGTGGTGACTGCATGCTTCCCTGTGGTTGTGATCGGGTGGAAAAGACTGGCCCAGGGTCATTGGACCTGGAATTTCTAGAATTTTTAAGGTGGTTTCCTCTGACAGACCCAAAGGGAGGGCCTGCTCAGCAGATCGGCAGCTCCAGCCCCATAACCCGGTTGTCAGGCTGCGTAGGAAGTGGGTTGCTTCCTTGTTGAGCTTTTATTTTTAGGAAAAAGTTATTCTCAGATTTCCTTTTTCTTCTCTATTTTGCACAAACTATCAGTTGGGTAGCAACGGGCCACTTGTGGAAAGTGAATTGCTTGACCTTTTATGGACACGAGCTCAGTAACCTTCAAAAATATGAATCTTCCAGTTTCCTCCTTGGTCCAGTGCTGCTGTAGGCGTCTGTAGGGGTTGTATCCTCACACGGTTTAATTCATCCTGGGGAGGTAAAACAAAGCATGAGAGGCTTGGCTTCCAGACCCTGGGAACCTGAGGCCACGCGTATGTCCTGCATGGTATGAAGTCCTTTACACTCTCGTCAGGTGCCCTGGTCCCCAGCCTCGCTGCTTCCTCACCACAGGGTCCTCCACGTGGCGTCTAGATCCTTAGAATGACTTCCATGCACTTTAACTTTGCTTCTTAAATTCATTTTTGATTGTTACACTTGTAATTTGTTTTTTTAAAGTATTTTGAAGACTATATCATGTTTTGTTGCTGTTGTTATTGTTGTTGTTGTTTTGTGTGTGTGTGTGTGTGTGTGTGTGTGTGTGAGTGTGTAAAGATAGCACTTGCATCCTTGGAGCAGCTGATAATTTGTTGTAACTTCTACTGCTGGAGAGAGAAAGAGAATGTTGTTCTGTTATAGATGATAGAAGTAGTCAGGCATTGGTGGTGCACACCTTTAATCCCAGCACTGGGGAGGCAGAGGCAGGAGGATCTCGTGAGTTTGAGGCCAGCCTGGTCTACAGAGCGAGTTCCAGAACAGGCTCCAAAGCCACAGAGAAACCCTGCCTTGAAAAACAAACAAGCAAAAAAGAAGATAAAAGTAGGGCAGCCCTTGAAACAGTAACTAAAAGGAGGCAATGACACTCTGAGATGTGGAAGGGTGTATTGAATTGCCTTGCACTTTGAGAACATACTGCTCAGAGCTATGAGGGCCAGCTACTACATGAAGGACTTGGGATATTGCCTTGATGAGGCTTGGGAACTGGAGCTGTGGAGGAGTTGGCTCTCATGCCAGGAAGGGGTGGGTGCCATGGACAGATCCTCAATAGATGAGGTACCTGTCCTGGTGTGATGGTAGTGTGAGCATGAGGTGTTTGGTACAGTGTGAGAAGTCCAGGAAAGAACCAAAGATTGCATCTAATTGTTCTGTTTTCAAGACTTGAGAGGCTGGTTGAACTGGCTAGAAAATGTCTAATAGGAAGAAAACAAAGAACATCTGATTTGATAACACTAATGGTAAAAGCCCTTTGGCTACAGCTTGGAAAAAAATACTAACTGGCTTTGGGGAAAATTTTACAGGGGACACACATCTATGAGTATCACAGTGACTGACGGACAGAGGTCACTGAGACAACCCTTAGCTCTCTTGCTTTGAAGCCACTGTGGAGCCAGCCTGGCATCCTCCATACAAAGGGCACAGCAGATGGGAATCTGAAACTCAGAGCAAGAGTTGGGGGGGGGGCATTATAGGTAGATTTGTAAGTTTGACAAAGATGAAAACTACATTTTTAGTTCAACTCTGTGTCACTCTCCAGAGTGTACTCTCCAGGAAATGTGTGTGTGTGAGCAAGCCAGTTTCTCCAGCCCTTGACTGTACCCTTGCTCTCTCCATCTACCTCAGGGAGAGTTGCCAAGCTGCAGAGGTGCCTAGGGCTGTGCACCTGTTCCCTCCCCAGGGACCGCTCGCTGCCTTTGCTTGCCGCCATGTTCCCGCCTTTTCCTATACTTGTATTCTCTGTCCCCTATGTTTATCTCCTCCTTTCTGTGCTCTGTCTAGCTTACCATAATTTAGAGTGACCAAGGAGATCATCACATAAGGAAAAACTAAAGCACTGGGTTCACAACAGTAGGGCCCAGTTCCTGGTTCCTGTGGCCCTTCAGTTCAAGATTTCCTTGTCAAGTTAGAGAGCCCAGAGAGGCCAGGGGACCCAGCATGTTTGCTCTAACTCTGGCCACAGATATCTGCACAGATCACACTGACACAGGGCCTTAATTGCTAATCCAGAACATGTGTTTGGGAAACAAAACCCAGTTAGATCCAAAATGTACAGTAACTATATGTGTATCTAAAGTGTGAGATAAGAGCATCCTAGCAGTCTGGCCTCAGTACGTCCTGTTAGCTTGATGTCATGGTCCATAGCCCTGTGTGTGTGTGTGTGTGTGTGTGTGTGTGTGTGTGTGTGTGTGAGATCACTAAGTTAAGTGACAGGCTACATGGTTTTTACAACCCTTCTGTCTTGTGGCACACTTATTATGAAAGAGTCTCATGGGGCCATTGATGAATTTAAAAGGGAAAAAGAAAAATCACCTCGGTGAATATATACTTGAGACCCAGGTCTCTTTCTTCCCTCCTCCCAGATTTTTATTTGTCATTTATTTTTGAATTTGTGTCTGAGACAGGTATGTGACATATGCATGTTGTGGGGGTGACCCTGAGGTCAGGAGACAACTTTGGGAGCCTGTTCTCTCCTGTTTCTGCCACTGTGTGTGGTTCTAGCCAATTCTCTTATCTTCACTTTGCTTCTAACCGTAGGAGTTCTGGGATTAGGGGTGAACTTCTTCTATAGGTTTCCCAGGAAGGGTTGAGTTCTGGTTGTCAGGCATATAAAACAGTGACTTTCCCTTCCCCTTTCCTATAACTCACAGCACGGTGCACTAGTAACTTTGCTCCTTGTTGTGATAAAATAGCCTATATGTAAAATAAGATTGTTTCTTATTTAAATAAAAAAGGAGGAAAAAAAAGAGTGGAGGTTTGCTGTGACTCCTGGCCTGTGTAGATGGAATCTGTCAGAGGGGAAGTTTCAGGTAACAGATGAGGTGCCTGGTCATGTGGTGTCTGAAAGCAGATAGACCAGTACTGGCTTTCAGCTTGCTTTCTCTGGGCCCCCAGCTCACGGGATGGTGCCACCCACATTCACATTGGTCTTTCCTGCTTGGTTAGACATTTCTAGAAATAAATGTCCTTGCACACAAATCTGGATGTGAGTCTCCTAGGTGATCCTAAGTCCAGTCAGGTTGATGGTGAAGACTGACCAGCATGCTTTGGGGCCATGCTGAAGACTAGCGACTTTGTCTTAAGTGACCTCACAGCCTTGAGTCCCTAGCCTTAGGAGATTCCTCTTGTTGTTTAACCTTTAAAACCCATCAAGTCCTCGGTGCAGATGGAGCCCGGCCATTCATGTGTGTCAAAGTTGCCCACTTTCTTTCTTGCACTGTTTCCCACTTAACTGTTTCCTGTCGAGTTCTCTTGCTTGCACTCCATGTCGTCAAAGTCCTCAGTGTCTCTGTCCAGAGAGTCTGGTAACTAGGAAATCAGGTCTCCTTCTGTGTGAGGGGAGGGGAATGCTCAGGCTCACTGTGATTCCTTCTCTGTTCATTTACAACCTTGTTGTTTCATTCTGGCTTTGCTGGACTGTGCACATTTCTGTTCTTCCAGGAGCCACATCTCACCGAGCCGCCTTCCCTCCAGTAGTCTCATGCCTAACAGCCTTCACCCCTGTGACACCCAGTCTCTGCTTGTTCTTTCCCCCCAGCTTTTTCCAGGATGGGCTAAAAGCGGTAGAGAGCCTCAAGCCTTCCATTGAAACGCTTTCTACAGATCTCCACACAGTGAGTAGCCTCCCTCCATATGGTGCTGTGACCATTCAGGGCCCTGTTTCTGTAACCCTGTGCATGCCTACTGTGCTGTGTGGAGAGGACTGGCCCCGTGGTGCTGAGGGGTGGTGTGAACAGGCCATCCTCACATGTGCTTATGTGTGGAAATACCATGATCTGCTACATCTAAGTGTGCCTTTGTCTTGCTTTTCTCTGCTTCGATTGCTCTTCAAAGATCAAACAGGCCCAAGATGAGGAGCGACGGCAGCTGATACAGCTTCGGGATATTTTGAAATCAGCATTGCAGGTTGAACAGAAAGAGGTGAGGGGATTTAAGATTGGAGGATATCACACACACACACACACACACACACACACACACAGAGTGTGGCCAGGTGTGAAGCTTTTCTTGCTCTGCCACTTTCTGGTAGTTCTATTTGTCACATTTATACCCTAAGTTCTGTCCCTGGACTCTGTGATTTCCCTGTTCTGCTGTGTGTGAACTCTCCCCATTGTGATCTCTCCCCAGTGTGAACTCTCCCCAGTGTGAACTCTCCCCAGTGTGATCTCTCCCCAGGGTGAGCTCTCCCCAGTGTGAACTCTCCCCAGTGTGAGCTCTCCCCAGTGTGATCTCTCCCCAGTGTGATCTGTCCCCAGTGTGATCTGTCCCCAGTGTGAGCTCTCCCCAGTGTGATCTGTCCCCATTGTGAACTCTCCCCAGTGTGATCTGTCCCCATTGTGAACTCTCCCCAGTGTGATCTGTCCCCATTGTGAGCTCTCCCCAGTGTGAACTCTCCCCAGTGTGAGCTCTCCCCAGTGTGATCTGTCCCCAGTGTGATCTGTCCCCAGTGTGATCTGTCCCCATTGTGAACTCTCCCCAGTGTGATCTCTCCCCAGTGTGACTCCCTGCACTGTGAACTGCCCCCACTGTGAACTCCCCCCCCTTGTGAATTTTGCCCTGTGTGAACTCTCCCCAGTCTGTGAAGCAGGGACATAACAAGTTCCCTTAAAGCCCAAGGCCATTCTCTGTGCAGTTAGTCTGGGCGTGGTGCCACATACTTATAATCCCAGCACTTGGGAGTCTGAGGCCAAGGTGCTACATGGTGAACTCAGGCCAGACTGAAGTATGTAATGTTGCTTTGCATACAGATCAAATGAAAGATGAGAAGAGAGCTGGTAGGATGACCAAGAGGCTCAGTGTTTCTTGCGTAAGCTCGATAGCCCGAGTTCAAGACCCAGATACCACAGTGGAGGGAAAGAACTAACTGGAAACCATTGTCATGGCACTTGCCTGTCACACAAACACTAACAATAACAACAACAATAAGAACAACACCACCACCACCCACTCTAACAGGTGCTTGTCACACAAACTAATAACAATAATAATAATGATGTCTACTCTCACAGGTGCATATCACATAAACACTAGTAATAATAAATAATAATAATGTCTATTCTCACAGGTGCCTGTCACACAAATAATAATAATAATAAATAATGCCCACTCTCACACACAGATGCATATCACACACACACTGATAACAATAACAAAACAATTTTTTTAAGATAAAAAAAGAGTAGGGAAAAAAAAAAGAGTTGGGGCTGGAGAGATGTCTCAGAGGTTAAGAGCACCGTATGCTCTTCCAGAGGACCTGAGTTCAATTCCCAGTACCTACATGTTGGTTCACAACCATCTATAATGGGACCTCTTGTCCTCTTCTGGCCCACAGGCATACTTGCAGATCACTCATGCTTAAAATATAAAAAAATGAAATTTAAAAAAAGATAAGTTTACATATGGCTCCACTGCAGTGGCAGCCATCCGTGGTCCTTGCCTGTTGTTTCTTTGGTGTGATGGCATCTTTGTGTCCCCACACATCACAAGGTGACAATAATATGGCTTAGGTGTTATAATGAGTAACTTTGTCTCTAGTCCATTGTTGAGGTTAGCCCTGAACCTCTAGGCTCAAGTGATCCTCCTGTCTCAACCTCTGAGTAGAGGGATATAATGGGAATTTAGCATTAAGTCCTCTTCCTTTTCAGTAAATTTAAGTAGCTGCTTAACAAAGCATAGTTCTTAGTCTGTAACTGAATCTCGTTGTTTTTCTCCCAAATGCATTCACCTTTGTGACCGAAGTCTAGGAGAGTAAGTACCCAGTATTTTCACAGATTGAAGAGTTCCGCATGCTCCCCTCATAGATAATTTCCTCATATAGCCTAATGGCTAGTTCATTTCAGCTTTCAATGTCTCCTCTTTCACTGTGGTACATGGTTTTCCTAAAAAGACCATATTGTTCGGTTGCATAAGATGGGTGAAATGGAAAATCGCCATGTTTGCTGTACACTTCTGCTGTCATTCTGTAAGCCCTCCTAGTCCATTCTGAGCCCTTTCTCAGCAGGGCTGACCCTTAGCGCCTTCTCCGTAATGCTGCTTTGCTAGAGACTGCCCACAGTAAGGCGACCTTTCCCTGGTCCCCACAGTGCTAGCCTGTGATTTCAGATGATGGTCCTCACAGTAGGGAGTAGAGAGGCTTGAGAGCTGGAGTGCTGTGAGGTGGCTGCTCTCCAGATCTCTGGTGTCGATGGTCTGAGGAGGCTCTAACCCAGGAAGAAATGACGCAGTGGGAAATGAGGAGGCGTGGCTGGGCTGGCAGCCGTTGGTGTACAGAGACTGGGATGGGTCTGGCTGTGCAGAATTTGAGGTCTGAGTTAACGGCTTCATCAGAGAGTTGTTACTGACGGTTCTGCAAAGATATAAAGCTTGACCGTGCAGATGACAAGTCTGGTGGCTTTTCACTGTGGGCTGAGCTAGCTAACCTATTTGCGGAATCTTCTTTCTTTTCCCTGGCTTTGTGCCTGGTGACTCCTATCAGACCGAGTTCTTAATGCCCCTGATTGTGAGGATGTTTCTTGCATCGATTGCTTTTTGGTGCTGATGTTCAGTCATGGGCATTCTATGGACACAGTAGCAATCCATTAACAAATGCCAAAAGTCAGGTTGCATGTGTTTCCATCTTTTCCTGTAATGTCTGGGCATGGCTGCTTTACCCTGCTTCCCTTCAGTTGGATTCTCCTCTGAGACTCAGAAAGCTGACGTGTCGGATGGACTTGAGCAGACTGTGACAATTCAAACTGCCTGTGTAATAGAGAATGACATGGAAGTTCAACCATGGCCCTCAGACGGTGCCTTCTTGTTTGGCAGGAGCGGTGACTTCCTGCTCCCCCTGTGAATGTCAGCCTAGGTCAGTACCGAATGCATCAGTAGGTGGCTGCCAGCTGCTTTTCTTTACCGCCCTGTGGCTGTACTTCAGTTTGGGATCCTGGCCTTTCTCCCAGTGTTTCTCACAGCACCCTGGTTATATTGTTTCCCTCTAGAGAGGACACTTATGTTAGATCACTTCCGTCATGAAGAACCCCAGACTTAGAGAACCTGTGAAAACTGAATGGTGAATACTGGTATCTGAGCCCCAGGCCTGATTCCTATCTGTAATCCTGTGATCCCAGCACTTGGAGGAAGAAGCCCGGGATCTCTGTGATGCACAGAGTGGATGCCAGGCCAGCCAGGGCTACATAGTCCCACTGTGCTCACACCTACTGCCTGAGCCATAGTGGACATTTCTGCTGCTGTCCGCCACTACCTGACACATTTCACCAGGCGCCAGTCCTCCCTGCTAGCCTCTTCTTTCCTTTCCATCTTGCTGATCCACTCTTGCTCAAGCTCTGCCCTCCTAGTTAGAGGCCTGGGACTCTTGGGACATTTGTCTCTCTAGTCATGGGTCCTGCCAGCATCAATTTCCTCCACTAGACCCTAATTCAGGCTGCCTTTCTCCACAATTGATCTGGCTGTCCCTTCTGTGGGTCAGCCTGGCCTGAAATCCTTGATCCTCTTAGCGCCCCCGTGCTGTGATTACAGGTGTGTACCATACCCAGGTCAAATTAGTCTTTGGTGGATTTAATGGGTTTAATTTTAGTCTCCCATAAAGAATTATCCAGACAAGCAAGCAGTATTTCTCCTTTCCCCTCCATGGTGGTATTCCTCCGAGTGTGGGAAGCTAATTTTTCCTCCAGATTTCTAAGAGTTAAAGATGCCATCCTTTAGGGAGAGTGTGAGACCAGAGGCTGCCTCCTGTGAGGAGTATAAAGTCAGCACCTGGACATTGGCATTCTTGGGTCCAGTACTAGGCAGACAGGAAGATAACGCAGTATTAGCACTCAACAGTACTCCCCAAACAGATCCTACCAGCGGCTCAGTGCCCTCTGCATCAAACCTCTGCTGCCTTTTGGTAGAAATCGACAAGCTGATTCAGAAATTTATGTAAAAGTGCAGAAGGACCAAGTTGGCTCACACATCCCAACCTCAGAACTGACCACGGAGCTGTCTCAACTGCAGCCCTGTGGCGTGTTGGAATGTGCATGGGTGTGTGAGACAGCATTGAGTTCGGCCATGAGCCATCTTCACCGGGGTTGCTGGGACTGTGGGGGGGAAAGAGTGGCCTTGAGACAGCTGAGTGTCCACCAGAAGTGGGGTGAATCTGAAACCCCACCTCGTGTTGTAACCTTAAATTAACTCGAAGTAGAGCAGACACCCAAGAGTAAGGATTTATTTATAAGTGCAGCTGCCATGGTCTTAAGTTAGGTGGTGGTTTCTTATGGTTGGCCCCTAGACACAAATTACAAAGATATTCCAGGCTGGGAAGAGTCCACGTGGCTTGCTGCCTCTTGGAACAGAAGCCTGTCTGACTGCAGTGGGCTGCTTCTACCTCCTGTCTCAGCGTGTGCCTCCTCCCTGTGTGATGGCCACAGCCGCCTCACCTTGAATCTCTTGTTCTTGGGCAGCCTTTCCCTTTCACTTCAGTGAGACTCTTCCTGCCTTGTGCACCTTTGACCCCTCACTTTTTGGGTGTGTTTATTCTCTGTTCAGTTTGGGTTGTGTTGCTTGTCATACATTAGTTCCTTCCCTGTTCACGCGCTGCCTTTGTTTCCCTGAGAATGGTCAGCTGCTTGCCGCCTGGGGGAGGCTGGCCTCAGTGTCTGTTGGATGACTTCCACTGTGGCTCTGTGGATGGAGCTGTGGTATCAGAACTGGGCTTCTACTCTGCACTTTACTTTGGCTTCAGATGCTCTGTCCCTTGAGCGAACCCCTTGATATTGTCACAGCTCTTGTTTCCTCTGGGCTATGGACTGTAGCTTGGCAGAATGCACAGTAAACAGAAAAGGAAAGGTCTTTAGCTTTTGCCTGGTTGTGAACTGTTCGTGGCATTTCACATCCTACTTACTTCCTGAAGATCTGCCCGTGTCCAGCACTGGTGGCTGCTCCTTCTGCGTTCAGTGTGGGATGAGGACCTGTCAGGACTGGGCACTGCCCTAGGTTCTGGAGAATTCTCACTAGTTCTTGCCCTCAGAGACTCATATGCTAGAGTTGGTCTTCAGGTGGGTAGTGTGACTCTCAGCTGAGCCCATGGATGGCCTGCTCTGTGACTGTGACACTCCTGGTCAGAGTTGGCGCAACTGAGAGCAGGGCCGCCCTCCTCACACACACCATGAGATCGACCAGGTTGGGAAGGGAGTATTTGACCAATGCTGTTGTGTGCCAGAAGTTTACATAAGTGACCATATCTGTCCTTTGTACATTTACTGTCTTATTGGGTGTTTTCCTGGGAAACTGAGGTAAAAAGGCCAAATAGCTTTGGTTTCCATTTTGTCCACGTTGCAGGCAGTTGTCTTTCCCAGCGTCCTTTCCCTAGGTTTCATCAGTCCAGCATCTCCTAGCCATTGCTGGGGTCCAGAATAAAATCCATCGCCACCAAGGTGGCCCACTAAAGCCAATTTAGAAGTGCTGATAGTTTAGGGGGAGATAGAGAAGCTGGAATGAGGCAATACTTTCACTAACCTCCCCCAAAGCCAGCACTAGAAATACTGATGTTTGACATTTCCTTCTACAACCTGATGGATGGCTTTTATTAATTTTTTGGTGGGGTTCTCTCTCTCTTTCCTCTCTCTCAGTATGTGATGATGGGGGGATATTTTATAGTAATAATAAAACATTTAGGCTTATGTTTCTTTTTATGTAGTGCAATTTCTTTTTAAACAGGGACTTAAACAAGATACATTAAAAAACAGTTTCTTGACTGAACTTTTAGGACTCACAACTTCGCCAAAGTACAGCGTACAGCTTACATCAGCCTCAGGGGAACAAGGAACACGGGACGGAGCGGAATGGGAACCTGTATAAGAAGAGTGATGGGTAGGTGCCTAGCCTGCTGGACGCTGAGTTGGAATGTGTGCTGATACTGCCTGTGTTAGTGTCTAAACTCTCCTGATTTCCCCCTCCTCCTTAAGGATCAGGAAGGTGTGGCAAAAGAGGAAGTGTTCCGTTAAAAATGGCTTCCTGACCATATCCCACGGCACCGTGAGTATTTATCTCCGCTGGGGTGGTTGCTGAAGGCTGTTCTGTGGCATTTGCTGTGGTGAAGATGCATTTGGAAGTTTCCCATTAGGAAGCTGTGCTCTCCCTCATTTGTGGAGTGCCTGCAACCTAGGTGTGCTCTTCTGGTCATATGTAACCTGGTTGCCTTGCATGTCTTCACCAAATCCAGGACAAACTGATCACCTGGGCCACCTTTCTGTAGCAGCCTTTGACTTCCAGGAACGATCAAACGCCCTGCACTCGCTAGCTTCAAACTGGACATTATCCTTACAAAGACTTCTGCTGTCATTAAAGGAATCAGATCCACAAGAAAAGGGAATTCCATATCTTTCATATAGAAACTTTATATACTGTGCCTAACCTCAATCAAGTTTTTCTCCCTGTTAGCCTGTTTGTAAGAGCCCATGACACATAATGTAGGCCTGTATGGGCTTGTGTGAGTAAAATCACTTTGCAGTGTAGCTTTCAGAGTCCAGGAACTGTCACAGCCTTTGTTCCCTCACCTGGTGTGACTGGCGCCGGTGAAGCTGGTCTGGATTGTCAAGGCCATAGGTTGCCCTTTTGCTGAGCACAGGCAGTGTCTCCTCCAGCTGCAGGTCTTACACTGCATTTGTATAAGGGTCATGATCATGGGTGGTGATGACTTGAGCCTTGTCTCAGTCTTCCTTCCCCCTCATCCTATAGTCCCCGCCAGAGGCTGAGTTGGGCAGAAGCACAGTTGGACTTCTTAGTGCTTTTGAGTAAACCAAGAAAGCTTCACCTGAAGGATGTCACAGAAGTAAAGATGATGCTGTGTGGGTTTGGGGAAGGGACTGTCCCCTTCACTTTTGATGAGTCCCTTAAGGGCAAGATACCTTCTCTGCCATCTCAGCTCCGGGAACTGATCATGTCTCTGGACTTGGGGGAGTAAAGATCATTTGCCTTCCCTTAACCCAAGCTGCACTTCACTCCTGAGCCTCGCAGATTGGATCTGGACACGCTGTTTCCATACAGCAGGTGCATGCACGTGAAGGGGCATGGCTGCTTTGTACCAAGGGAAGCAAGCGTGTTTAACCATGCAACCTTTAGATGCAGCATGCCAGGCCAGGAGGACGGCTGGGTTTCCCTAACAAGCCTCACCGTCTGGTGCCATGCCTCATTTCACATTGTCCATTAGTTTGCTTTAGCTCAGGCACACTGCCTCGATGCAGAAATCGCTGCTGAGTGAGGCCACCTTTCCTTTCTTGTCATAAGGCACATCTGCTTTCTTGGGGTCCCTGAGGTGCAGGGCCTCCACTTAAACCAGCAATGGGGGAGCGCAGGCCTGGTGATCCCTTGCTGGCAGTGTAGTTGGTTTTGAGTGACTTCCAGCATCCCAGCTTCCTCTCCAGAAGCATAATAAAAATTCTTTAAATTTTGATGAGTTGCCCCAGTTTTGGAGCAGACAGTAGTTATAATTATCTTCCCCAGGTTGCTGCTGCTTCTCCTTACAGAGTGTACATGTCTTTTAAGAGCTGTGTGCTTTGAGGTGAACCCTCTCAAGGAACCTCCACTTGTGGGGAGGTGAGGCATCTCTGCCATTAGCAGCCACTTCCTGTAGGTGGGTCCCAGCTCAACCTCCACCTATCTGCCTTGGCGGAGCCTGGGTAGCTTGCTTTTTGCCGTCCCTTTAGTTGCTAAGTCGATCTTCCCCCCCTCTCTGTGTTGTTCTATGTGCCCTGGCAGTCAGGACCCTGAAGGAGCCTCCATGTTCCTGTGAATCCAAGTGTTTGCCTGTTGTGGAGGCGAATGACCCCAGCAAAGGGATGGATGCCCGGGTGGCCTGTTGTTTGAGGGTTTGGTTTTGTCTCACTCCTGTAGCTTGCCCATATGGCCAGAGCTTCTGGCTGTGCTTCATCACCACCGTGAGACAGGGACAGGGACAGACAGGTCTCTGAAGGTCAAAGGTGAGAGAGTGGGAATCTAAGAGCAGCTGCTGGCACATAGCTATGAATAGGGTCTGTGGGAACAGGGAGCTCCTGGGAAATGCTTGCACTGCCCGGAAGTCAGACCCTTTGGGAAGTGAAATTGCTGCATTCTTTACTCCCATGGTGTACAGGTGTACAGGTACCATCCAGGATGGGTACAGTGAGAGTTGGCATTGGTATTGTCACAGCTGGTTGTGTTTCTGGAACTGTGACGGTCATCCTTGGGATTAGGTGCTCTGATAGGGGTCCTTTTGACCAACTCCACAGCACTGCCACCGCACTAAGGCCTGAGGGCTGCATTGTGTGCAAGAGTTACCTGCTGCCTCTTAGAGGGCCCAGCATTTTAGAGTGTGTGTGTGTGTGTGTGTGTGTGTGTGTGTGTGTGTGTGTGTGTGTGTACGCGCGCATGCGTGTATACATGTATGTATGTCTGTTATATAGTTCTTCTGTTTCTGCCTCCTGAATGCTGGGATTAAAGGTGTGTGACAGTACACCTAGCCAGCTCAACATTTTAAAAAGTGATTGTTACTCACTTGGAAGAATGAGTTCATATTTGTGCTTATAAATTGTTTTAAGGACTGGATACACAGGTTAGTGGTAAAGTGCTTTCCTTACATGCATGAGGCTCCTGGTTAAATCCTTACTGCATCAGTCAATCATCAATCAATCAATGGCTTTAAAAGCCTGGGACATTTAGTAGAAAGTAGAATTGGCACAATTAAGTGGAAGTCTCTAATAACCTCTGCCCTCACGCTGCAGACGCTCAGGCTAGTGGGAGCTTCCCAGTTGCTAACATTTCCTGCTAAACCCAGGCTGCCTCGGGAAGGAGACAGCACTGTTCTCCAGCTAAATTGAATAATGACTTTGTTTTCTTCAAAATGGCTTTGTGTGTGTGTGTATGTTAGTAGATAGAACTTTCTCCCATAAGTTTCCCTCATGTTTTTGGTTGGTAGCTAATAATCTGAATGAACAAATAGCAAGCGGCTATTAAAGTGAAACCTGCCAGAGCTGGTGGTGTTTAAGATTTCTCTCTGTGTGTCTGTGGGTCCTTCTTGGCCGCCATCTTTAACAGGTAGCTATATTCATGGCCTTGAGTTCCTAGTCCAGATGAAGGCTTTGGGCCTTTCCCTGTACTTGGCTTTCATTTGCTGTAGAGTGAGAGTTTCTCTTTGGGGATAATTATCGACGTAAGGAGTGAGGGTGCCACAGCAGAGAAGAGAGGTGACAGAGGTGGGGAGAGAGGAAATATAATCAACTCTTAGTTGTGGATCTCAAATGTATGCTGGTAGCAGCCGTGGTTAGCTGTGTAAGACTGGGTATGGTCAAGCCAGCGGCAGTCCTAGCATGGATGGGGTAGATCATCTCTAGGCCCTACTGCATTGCTAATAGCAGTTACAGTTGTTGGTGGACAGAGAATTAATCTTCATTGAGAACGTAGCCACTGCTAGGTTTCCCTAAACCTATGCACATGTGAGTACTAACTGGACTTAGGTTAGCCATTAAAAGAAACAAATAACAGAAAGGAAGTTGGGAGGAGGGGAAGGTATGAGGCAATGGGGGAAGATATGATCATATTTCATGGTGTACATAGAGTTCTCTAAAAGTTTAAAAGAATATCCATACCATTGAACACTTGTCCTCTCAGGCTACTGGTCAGGTTTAGGGAAAGTGACAGCTAATGCTTAGTGCATGGAACCTGCAGGTTTGTTGGAGTCCTACTCCTGACTCGATAATTGTACAGCCCAGGTCAAGCGATTTCATTTGTTCATGCTATCTGGGTGTACACCTTTAATCCCAGCCCCCAAAAACCTTGTCTTAAAAACAAACAATAAAAACAATAATAAAAAAGAAACTAAAACCAAACAACCCACAAACCACCAGTGTGTTGGACAAACTTGTTCATGTAGTTTGTATTTTCAGATTTTAGCTCTGTTATCTTTGATCAAATCCAGATTTCACAAGCTGCAATAATATATTCCCATTTTAATGGAGACTACCCACCCCCATCCCCACACCCAGCCCTGTAAAGTTAGTAACAAGAACCCCCAGGTCTGAGTGCAAAAGTGTTTGCCAGGCCTGCCCTGTTATGGTAGAGACAAACATGTCTCTGGATTAGTCCCAAATCTAGGTCACAAGTCTTGAAGCATCTAGTGGCCAAGGAGAGCGGAAAGTGAGACTAGTTGATTGATGTCTAAGACTTCAAAATATTTATTTTATGTGTATGGATATTTTGACTGCATGTATGTTATATGCAATGTGTATGCCTGGTACCCATGGAGGCCAGAAGAGGGCATCAGATCCCCTGGAGCTGGAGTTATATTCTGAGCCACCCAACATGGGTGATGGGAATGGATCTGAGGCCCCCCTGTAAGAGCAACAAGTCCTAATGTCTGAGTCATTTCTTCAGTCCCCCCCCCCCCCCCTTTCCTTAAAACCAATAAAACATGTTGTGAGCTTTTGAATGTGGAATGTGTTCCGTGAAACAGGCAACATAGCCTGTTTTATTTAGGATTGTGAATTGTTGCCTGCTCTCATTTTAGATAAAAACAGACAGAAAGACAGACACTCTTGTATGTGCATCTGCGGAGTGACTTTTCCTGGAAGTAAGGTTTATGCTTAAAAACACTTTGAGAAGCTTAAGAAGTTAAGCTGGGTGCTTGCTCAAGCCATCCAGCCACCCCACTGTGTCACCTTGAGGGGTCAGAGCCCAGTATTTCAGTCTGCTCTTGCCCTTGTCCCAATGGGGTGGATAGACCCCTGTGTGTGCCCTGGCAGTGAGAGCAGCCACCCAAGGGACCCCCCAGCATTCCTGTGTGTCCTATCCCTGAGAAACCTGCAAACCAGTAAGAGGTCTTCTCTTGACTGTGTCCCATTCCCCACTCATCCTGTGTTTTTCATTTGTTTCTAAACAGGCCAACAGGCCACCTGCCAAACTCAACCTGTTAACCTGCCAGGTGAAAACCAACCCGGAGGAGAAGAAATGTTTCGACCTCATCTCACGTAAGGGTCTTTCTCCTCAGACCACACAGTGCTTATATTACATGTTCCTGGAGAATCAGGCTTTGATGAATTGGTCTTAAGGTGGGTGAGGCAGGAAGATTATGAGGTCCGTCTAGTGTACATGGTGAGACCCTGTCTCGTGTGTTTCCAGCGGTGACTGGTGGCTTCCCAGGACTTTGGGTTAGGATTGGCCTTTGAAGAGAATCCTGCTCCATCTGCTGTGTGAACTGAGAGCCCCCTTCTCTGCCCTGAGCCTCAGCTCCCTGACTGGCAGACAGACAGATTGTGTTAGATGAGCCTCGCTCCTTACACCCTTTCACCTGCCCTTCTATCAGTTATTTGTGTGACATTTAAAATGCTGCAAATGGAGGCCTGAAATGGCTCAGTGGGTAAAAGGTCCTTGACTGCCAAGCCTGACAACCTGCGTTCTATTCCTGGATCCCATATGGCAGAAGTAGTAGATGTGTTCCTGCAGCTTGTCCCCTGACCTACACACAGGCACCACAGTGCACATAAGTTCCCTCAGCCCAGAACATAAGTAAATGTAATGAGACTTTTTTTTAAACACTCAAATAGAAATGATTAGTAATTTCTTTTCTCTCTCTTTGAGTTGTTTATTTTCCCCACTACAGAATTTGTCTGTTCGCCCCTTTGTATCTTTTTTTATGATGCACAGAAAGGAGCTGCCACAGAACCAGCAATTACAGCAAATGTTTACTCAGAACCTTCCACAAACAAAAAAGGGGCTCGTGACATCATCCTAAGGAAAATATGATAAATGGGTTTTGTCCTCTTTCATTGTACATGGCATGATTACAGTTTAGGGAAGGGTGGACCAATCTCCACTCTGAAGAGCTGCTCCCAGCAGTCATGCACAGTAGTTAAGTTTACACAACGCTCTAGCCTGAGGGGCATAGGCAGGTGGTGTGTCCCGTCATGCTTAGCACCCCATCCTGCAATCTGATTCATTCTGATGGCTCTATTGAGACCTTGGAGCCGGTGTGATGTAACACACACAGCAAATCAAGAAGAATGGCCATGTCATCTGCACCGGCTGCCTGGCTTGTGCTCCTCATTGGGTTTCATTTTGCAGAGCTGCAGGGAGGGGTGAGGTGTGTGATCTGGGAAACATCTGGGCACTGTTAGTCATGTATGCTGGGCTAGGGAGATTGCTCAGTGCATTAGAGCACTTGCTGTGTAAGCTGTGGCCTTGTGTGTGCTTACAGTAGGGTCGAGACAGGAGGATCACTGAGGTTTGCTGGCCACTAGGGTAGCTGTTTTAGGGAATGAAAAAGATGATAGGATACCTCCTCTTGCTTACACAACACACACACACACACACACACACACACACACAGAGAGAGGGGGGGAGGGAGGGAGGGAGGGAGGGAGGTTGAAATTATGCTGCTTCAAGCTCCCGACCCCCTCAGTCTGGTTGGTTCCATGTGTAGCAACACTTTCTTTCAGAATTACATCTACAAGGTAAAATGCTGAGCCTTGACTGTAGTTTAAAGTTGATCCCTGCTGGGCCACCTGCCTCTAGACAGCAACAAAAGCTTGACTTAAAGGAAGAAAACTTGATGGTGTCATTAGATGTCTACTGGTGGCTGGAGAAGAGGGTTGTTTAAACCCTTTATTTTAACCCTGTTAAAAGCTGCCTGTTAACCTAGGTGTAAGATTCTCTTGGTAGCTATCTGAGCTTGCTTTAGCTTTGGGTATCACACCAAGGTGGGTACAGCACTTCCCCCACATCCCCCAGCTGTCACCGTCAGCATGACTGGTGAGTCCCCAGCAAACATCACAAGTGTAGAAGCAGTTGCTACAGAACCTTCCTCCTGCTGTTGTTGGCTCCTCAGGTGCTCTGTGGTGTGTGTGTGTGTGTGTGTGTGTGTGTGTGTGTCTGCGTGTGTGTGTCTGTGTGTGTATCTGTGTCTGTGTGTGTCTCTGTGTCTGTGTGTGTGTATGTGTGTGTGTGTGCGTGCGTGCTCTTGAGCACATAGTAAGGACTCACATACCCCTGCTAGGTGTGAATTGTTGCATCCTGAGGGTGTGGGGGGGAGTGGCTACTGTGTGCGTCTGGTTATGCCCCAGAGTGGTGCTGCAGATAGACTTCACCAAGACCCCCCCCCATGACTTTGTGGCTTCTCATGCTTGTGAATAACCCCAAGAGGGCACAGCCTGAGTTGCTCTGTCAATCTGGCTGCAGGCACTGTTTGCTACTGTGGCCAGACAGAGCCTTAGTAATTCTGAAAACCTGTCTCACCCACTTCCTCTGCTAGGTCTTCAAGGGGCAAAATTAATTCTAGTCCCACCCAGTTTCCAGCTCAGCAGAATTTCAAAATGTGCGATTGCTCTAGGAGCATATAATGGGAATGCTTTATGTGAGGCTGCTGGGACCTGAGTTCGTGTAAAAGGCGTGAAGTTATCAGGGGAAATACACTAGCTGAAGCTCTGAGGTAGCCATTGTCCTGAGAAGTGAGGGGGCCCTGGTTCAGTACCCTGTTCTCCCCTGTAATGCCACCTCTACCCCCTGACTAGTGGGGCAAATGCCATCAAGTGCCCTTGAGTGCAACCAAGTTGAATCTTTGGGAAATCACTGATGAACAGAAGGCCAGACCTTGGACAATGGGGCAGGGAGAGTCTAGCTGCCATCCAGGGGTCACCCCCTCCCCTTATCCTGGCTTGAAATCCGTTCAGAGGGTGACACACTGACTACTGCCTGCAAGACTGTGATCTCATTCTCCCACAAAGGGGCTCCCCGGTATGATCTAGAGGGTCCTGGGACTGCGCCCCTTCAGGGGCATTTGTCTGCCATAAAGCCAACCCTTTGGGAATTTGTCCAGTCTCGTGCCCTCAGACTGACTTCCCCTCTGTAAATCCAAGTCTTGAGCCATTGTCCTTGGCACTGTAGGAAGGGTGTTGGTTAGAACTATGAGATGGCTTGGCCAGTCTCCCAAGCAGGATGGAGCTAGATCTCTCTACAGCTCCACTGCTCCTCTGGTGGCCAGATGCTCATGGGACCTCCCTGTCTTAAGGTGGGTCCCCAGAGAGCCTGCAGGGAGAGAGCATTATCCAGGCCTTTTCTTGCAGAGTAACTCCCACTTCTCCATTCAAACCCGGCATTATCAGCCAGCAGTCAACCGAGGCCGCATCCGATCTGGCTGTGAAGTAGCTCAGTGTAGGCGCAGGCCACTGGCATGCCCTCTGTCCCAGCTTCCTGAGAACTCTGAGATCCACCTGGCAAGCTCCCAGCTCAGGCTGTGGGACCTGCCCCTCTGGCGCTCTTCCCAGGGGGCTGGCCTAGGAGAAAGTGGCCATGCCTCTTCTCGCACTTCTATCGGGTGCAGTCCCATGTTTGTCTAACTTGAAATAGTTCTCTTTGCCTCTGTTCCTCTCTTCAGCGACAGGTGGGACATAGAAAGTGTCACTCCACTCACCTTGATGTTAGGATTGTAAAGAAACAAACAAAACCAAAACCAAACCCGCCACTGGGATCCTCTGCTCCGAATTCTACTTGTGTCTGCACTTGACCCCTCTTGGTACTTGGCCCCCATCCAGACAGCTCACAGGAGTCGTCCTAAGTCAGGGACTGAAAACTACTGTTGCAGAGCTGTGCCCACTCAATTGTATTTTTTAAAAGCATTGTATTTGTCCGTGCACATTCCAGCAAGCACGTGTCCATGCACATGCTCATTTGGAGACCAGAAGACCATTTGTGGGAGTTGGTTCTCTCCGTCCACTATGTGGGTTCCAAGAGTTCAACTCATGCTGTCAGTCTTGGTGGCAAGAACACTCAACTGTTGAGACTCCTCATCACGCCCTGCTTGCTTTGGGCTCATAGTTGTTTATTGTGCACCAAGAAGAGTGTCACTCTGTTACTTGCAGAAGCTAGACTTCATTTTCTTCTCTTTTCAAATGTTGTTTTCTTCCTAACTTTCTTGTTTTGACTCATTCTGTGCATAGAGTTTATGGATATCCCTTACCGTGTGTGTGTGTGTGTGTGTGTGTGTGTGTGTGTGTGTGTGTGTGTGTTAATTAGCCAATATGTATTACTAGAAAAATCCACATTGAGGAAGCACAATACTGTGAAATCCTACTCAGAATGCACCAATTTCCTACTCATGTCCTGGTCCTGGCCCTACAGACCCCTCCAGGCCCTCAGGTTGCAGTTTAGATCTTAGTTCATCTTGGCTCCCACTGGTCTAGTTTTTACAGCCTTTCCTTGTCTGTGTTGACCTTTGTATGATTTGAAGACCGCTGCTCAGTTTTGTTGTGAAATGTCTGTCAAGTTAGGCGTCTCCAGTGTTATCAGGACTTAACTGAGATTGTACATTTTGGAAAGAATAGCACAGAAGTGAAGCTGTCCCCCCATGAACCCTCATTGTGCACACAGGGGTCACTGGTAAAACACTGCAGACACCAGCCACGACAGTGTGATACTTCCCATTAGACCATCATTTTGCCACATCTTACTGGGTTAGCTGTGCTTATGATGTTCTAAGAGTGCCATATTCTTAGAATTTCTGATGCATTATTATTACTTTTCTAAGAAAGCAGAAAGTGTCTAAGATAGCGATTTTTCAGAAAAGGCTCTTGTTTGCCAGGAATATGGTGTTCTTTCCTCCTGTTGCCCAGGAAGCATGGGCATGCAAGTCTGTGTGTGTTCAAAGCTAGCCTGGTCTACACAGGAGACCACCTTGCTCAGCAAGTGTGAGGGGGAAGGCATGCTTATCAAAGGGTTCCCTTGGGGGAGGGGTGATTGTAATGAATGTCAAAGTTTTTGGAAGTTTGGTTTCTATTAAATAGCCTTACTTCTCACATTTTACACTAGAATGGGCAGGTTGGTTAATTTGCATTTCAAAGTCACACACCCATGAATGCAGCATGGAAAGGAAGGACTTGCTTGGCTTTGTACATTAACATGGTAGGGAGCGCATGCTATTCGTGATGTAAAGTCTAACTCGGCCTCGCAGTAATAAGTCTCCATTTGCTGTGCAGATGACAGGACGTACCACTTCCAAGCAGAAGACGAACAGGAATGTCAGATGTAAGTGCTGTGGGTGGGGCCAGGACCAGGGGTGGGAGTGTACTGTGGGCGGGACTGGGACCAGGGTGGCCTTACTGTGGGCGGGATTAGGACCAGGGGTGGGAGTGTACTGTGGGCGGGACTAGGACCAGGGTGGCCTTACTGTGGGCGGGATTAGGACCAGGGGTGGGAGTGTACTGTGGGCGGGACTGGGACGAGGGGTTGGAGAGAATATGCTCTCCCAGCTAACAACAGAGCTGTGGCTGTTTGTCCAGATGGATGTCTGTACTGCAGAATAGCAAGGAAGAAGCTCTGAATAATGCGTTTAAGGGCGACGACAACACTGGAGAAAATAACATTGTCCAAGAGTTGACCAAAGAGATCATCTCAGAGGTGCAGAGGATGACGGGCAACGATGTGTGCTGTGACTGTGGGGCACCAGGTGATCCTTGAACCATCCCAACCCCGGCTCTAGGAAACGTAGATTCCAGAGACACACAGAACCCGCACATTGATTTTAAACTGTCATTTCAAACGTGAAATCGGTGCTGCTCAGTCTGAGCTCATCCCATTACACAAATGCTTAATGAACTGTGTGTGCAACTCAGCGGGGCACAAGGATGGGAGATGCTTGCCTGCTGGGCCCAGGGCAGCACCATGGAAAGACAGCCTGGTGGAGATGAGAAGATGGCAGGGCTCTTTGAGTCATAAGAAAGCTGAAGGGCACAGTGGGGGGTGGGCCGAAGGCCACCAGTCCTATGGGGCCTAAGAGGCTGTGAAGGTACAGCGGGGGCTTTTGCTTAGGATTTCCTGAAGCGTCTCTGTTCTCCTGGAGGACCGTTTGAAGTAACTTTCAGGCACACTCTGGCTCTGTGACCCAGGAAGAGAGCCACAGACTGCCAAACAACTGTAAAATCAGTGATGGGTCCCTACTATCTGTCACATCCTGTGTTTGCATTTTGATATAATTTATCAGAGGGTTCATGTTAAGGCACATAGTATCTTTATGGGTATTAACAACCAGAACTCTAAGGCCTGAGGAACTGACATTTTCATTAAGAAGGGAGAGGGTGGAGAGTCAGGATCAACACAGTAGCTTTTCTGAATGCTTGTTTACTGAGAAGTGTGGCTTTCTGTTCACATAGTTCTGATACAGTTCGTATTAAAAAAATACAACCACAATAGATAGTTATAAGTGCCATTAAGTTCTTGTTTTCCTGAGTTGTTTGGTCTTGGTCTATTAGAAATATCTTCATGGCAGGAGTAGAGGCAGAGAGTAGCCTGTGCTCTTTTGTAAGAAAGGGTAAGAACGGTGAAGTACTAGAATCTTAGGGCGTCTTTATCAAGAATCGCTGCTAAAAAATGCCAAGGGCGTAGAGATGGTGTGGAATGTGCTGTGTTATCTGAACATGCACTGTTCCCACAAAGCAGTGGGATACCTGGGAATAGCTGAGATCCCTGCAAATATGGATGCTAGGAATAGTCACTAATGTGGGCACAGTGTGTGTGTACGTGTGTGTGGTGCGTACATGTGTATACTGAGGATTCAACTTAATGCCTTACATGTGGTAGTTAAGTACTGTACTACCGAGCAAAAGTCCTAGCCCACATTTTTTTTAAGACTTATTTGTTTATTTTACTTGGAGTTGTGTGTGTGAGTCTGGATGAATTTATGTGCACCATGTGTGTATAATGCCAACAGAGGACAGAAGAAGGCATCAGGTCCTCTGGAGTTACAGGTGGTTGTAAGTAGTCACGTGGATGCTGGGAATGGAACTCAGGTCCATTCTCCAGCCATCTCTCCAGCCCCTCTCCCCTGCCCTCAGTTTTTACCAAGTAGACAGTGTTTAAAGAAGTTAATGATGACCTCACGGGCATGATCGTGATGTTTGCCCGTGAAGAATTTCTAAGTGCATCAAGCACTCCTGAGATGCTGTGCTCCAATGTATCATAGTTTTAATGCTTGAAAACTCAGCATTTGCCTGTCAAGTGTTGGCTGGGTCCACACTGTGTGCTACGTGCATAATAGGATGCTTAAGTGAGGAAGTGAATATCCCATATGGGAAAGGTGTGGCTTGAACTTGGGGAGACAGGATGGGCCATGTGCTCTGCACTCGCTAGTGGTATGCCCGGAGCATACAATGAGATAATGTGCAAAAGCGCTCTGATTCCTGGCACTCACGGTGCAGTTGACCATTACCACAGCCCAGGTCCTAAGCTCAGCACAGTACAAGCAGGAAGGAATGTGTATTCCCTGTTACTGTTAGCGCCTAGACAGCTTCTCATCCCTGCAGCACTGCGCTCCTCTGGCTCCTCTGTGGTACGGCCACGTGGAACTGGGGTGAGTGCCACAGGACTAGCCCTTGCGGTCGCTTAAGTGTGTAGAAGGATAGAGTTGGGAGGAGAAGAATTAACACCTTGTCATTGCTTGTGGGGTTTGGTGTGATTTTAGACGACCAGGGTCCCAGCTTTATCAAAGGTAAAATGCTCACGTTCAAAGTTCCATGTTCAGCAGCCAGCAGGGAGAAACTTCTGCTTCCTGTTGTCTGACAACCGGCTCATGAGGACCCCTTCTCTTTGGCAGATCCGACGTGGCTCTCCACCAACCTGGGCATCCTGACTTGCATCGAGTGCTCGGGAATCCACCGTGAGCTGGGGGTCCATTATTCCAGGATGCAGTCCTTGACCTTAGATGTATTAGGAACGTCTGAGCTTCTGGTAATTTCATTTAGAAACTCATTGATAATGACTCATGTTATTCCTAAATGTAGAGCATAGACACGACTCCAAATGAGGAGAGGAGCGCTGAGGCTGGCGGAGGGGTCTTCTGAAACGGCTGAGCTGGCGGCTGAGGCCCCCTTTACCCTTGGACTAACTAGGCACAGAACCCAAAGCCCAAGGGCAGTAAAGGGTTTACTATCCCCAAGTCATCAAAGGCTGTACCCATTTCTTGCTTTAAGCCCCTGTTGACCTTCCTAATCCTTATTGCCCCTCTCAGGAGAGATACTGGCTTCTGTTTTTGCCCCTCACTTTTCTAAAATAGTTTATTCATCATGGCTCACTTGCGTTACTGATGTTTTCTGATAGAGGGGTAGGGAGATGGGAACATTGAGAAATACCTTTTGGTGTTTGACACTATAGCCTGACTGAGTCACGAGGCCAATTGCACATGGGCTTTAGGGCTTCAGAATCTATAGTTTCTCTTTGGAAAGCAGTGCTTGAAACCCTTTCTTGAGATGACTAGGCATTGGGTAGTAAATAGTAAGTGGATATTGATTGGCATTGATTTTACTGTCAAAAGCAATAATCTTGACAGAACATCAGTTCTTATGGTCAGTAGTATTCTTCTCACAGGGACATAGATCTTCTTGACAGCTCTGAATCCAATGTGTCTAGATTCCTGGTGCTTCTGGCTGTCTTGGGGAAACTGCCCTGTTATTCCAAGGAATTCCTTGTTTGATCTTGGAAGACAAGAGTGAGAAGAAAGCAGTGTGGGTCCCTGGTTACTTCTACCTTATGAATGAGGCAGACTCAGCAAACCTCCACAGTGTACTCTTGGTTGTGTATATAGTCCCTGCTACCATATAAGGGCACGTGGCCTACACCTCGAAGGTGTGGGAATGTACAGCATCTCTGGGGAAACTGATTAGGGCTTAGTTCTTAAGTGACCACACTAAGTTCTTAAGGAAACAGTGTCTCGGCAAACACTGATGGACTGTAGCAATTTCTACTTCCACTAGTCAGCTTACAACAGAGGGACATGTCAAACGTATAGTAAGATAATGGCTTATGTGTTAGCTCATCCAATCCTTGGTGTAGGATCTCCCACTTCACCAAGGGGGAAGCTTTGCTTACAATACCTTAATGTACCCAGGTTCTACACCCATTAAGTTAACACACTCAAAATGAGGCTCCCTTTAATCTTTCTTAGCTCATTCCACTGAGACTCCTGGGATACAAACTGGCATCTATGGTGGGGTTTTCTGGCCATGTGGAAAGCATGTGAGCACCATATCTGCCCCTCCCCAGAGCCCATACCCAACAAGTGTTTTAACAGCCAACTCTGAGGAGCAAAGAGCCCTTCAACAAAGCCTGCCTATTTCCCTGGCATAAATGCTCTATTGTCACCATTTTTTAATTACTCTTATGAATTACAGACTGGGACTGGCAAAGGACGTTCAGAAACACAGTGTTATAGCATACATTCATCATATAAATACAATACATATAAGCAACTCAAGACACTGATCACGGTGAAATGTAGTAATATTTAGGAAAGGTGAGATTTGTTTTATTTGGAGTTGGGGAGCGGGGGCAGGGTCTCCCTGTGTAGCCCGGGCTGTCTCCCTTCTTCCTCAGATCCCGACATGCTTGGAATTCAGGTGTTCACAGAAAGCAAGATAATGAACCCTTAATAGCTAATGTCGTAGCTAATGACATTATTTATCATGCGTTTACATAGTATAATTTTTAACAGTAGTAATGTTTAACAGCTGTCTCTCAGAATTCCTAGACATCTAGTAATTAGCTTTCCAGAGCTGGTTAGAGTCTCACTCCAACATTGACTAATTAAATGCGTCTCAAAACGTGGGCCTGGAGAGATGCTTCAGAAGCTGATACCAGGTACCCATGAGCTGGAGGTACAGGTGACTGTGAGATACCTGAGGTGGATGCTGGGACTGAAAGGTGGGTCCCCTGTAAGAGCAGCATGTGCTCTTACGCGCTGAGCCATCTCTCCAGCATACTTCTGGGTTTTGTTTTTTGTTTTGTTTTGTTTTTTAAAGAAGCCTCCATAAATTCAAACCAATGGTGTACATGGTTCTTGATGTGGCTTTTGATAAAAGGCTTCTCAGTGTTAGGGGATGAGTATTGCTGTGGTCGGCATTGCTGGGCATTAGTCTTGTGTCCAGTTGCTGTTTCCTTTGCCCTTGAGTCAGGACTATCTGTGTTCATTCTGTCAAGTTATTCAAGCTTGTTGTAATATTTTTGATTCTGTCCCCGTACCAGGATCAGCATCTCAGGGATTTTTCTCATCCCTTAGGCTGTCTCTTCACTTTCCTTATTTATGCAGAGCAATTCCAGTTTTCCAGTTTTGCTTTTGTTGGCAAGCGGAGACTTTTTAAATGACTGAAAGAAACAGCCAGCCCATGGGCAGGACCTGAATGCATTTTCGTTTTCTCTTTGGCATCATGCTTTGAATAGAAGATGAACACTCACTGCTCGTGCCCTTCAACATGACTGTAGCATTTTCTACTCAAGGAGACCCCTTTGCTGAGTTCTGTGGATTATTACCTGGTTTACAAAGTTTGTCTGACACTGTGCCCTGGCTGTTTCTCCATTCTAATTTGCTGTTATTTGAAAGCACACTTTCCACGTTGACCTGATGGATTGGGCAGCGTCTGACAAGGTGGCTGAATGTAGCTGGTAACTACCTCCGCTTCCTGCTACTGCTTTTAAATCACTCTTGTTCACTGGAAGGGAGCACAGGCAGTGGAAGGGTTCGTTTGGTTCTTTTGGGGAAGTTGTGCCACCCCAAACTTTTAGCATTCCATACTCTAGACGGCTTAGAGCAGTGGTTCTTAACCTGTGGGTCTTGACCCCTTTGGGGTCGAATGACCCTTTCACAGGGGTCACCTAAGACCATTGGAAAACACAGATATTTACATTATGATTCATAATGGCAGCAAAATGACAGGAAGTAACAATAAAAATAATTTCATGGTTGGGGTCACCACAGCATGAGAAACTGTGTTAAAGTGTCTCAGCATCGGGAAGGTTGAGAACCATAGCCATAAAGCTTCAGGGGACCTGGTTTCAGAGGCCCCCAGCAAGCCTGGGTTTTAACTTTGAAGAACGTTATAAGCTTTTGGGGAGAGTGGGGGTTGTATGAAAAACCATATTACCTACTACGGTACTGGTATCATGTGATCTATTTCACTACCATGTGATAAGTTAAAGGAATTTAATTTAGAGCGGGGTGTGATGGCTAAGGCCTCTGAGCTTACCTGTGGAGGCTAAAGCAAGAGGGTTGCTATGGCCTTGAGCCCAGCCTGTGCTACACAGTGTGTCACAGGCCAGCCTGGGCTATGGAGTGAGACCCTGTCTGAACAGAATAGATGTAAAGCCTTCCATCATGCCGAAGGAATGTCAGGAAGCCTCGGCAGTTGGTTAGCTGACTCAGCTGTCTCTGGAGGTCTCTGCTGCACTGTCAGATGCCTGAGCAGGCAGGTCAGCCACAGCCTCAAGCCTGGGACTGCTGTCAGCGCTGGTGTTTTGAGGGTGCTGAACTAAGTCACTCTGGGTAGTGACTGCAGTGGCAGTGAGAAATGGTAGTCAGCTGCCATCACATTAGGTCCCGGGCTTTGCCATGGCTGTTTTGGGTTTGGTTTTGTTTGGGTTTGATTTGACTTTTTTCATACTTTTTCTCTGGCCTAAGCAAGACCCTGGGACACCACAGGCTGTGTGCAATCCTGTTTGTAAGTCACAACACTGAGCTGATTTTAGCTACAAGAAAAACCAAGTACCCAGGCATCTGTGTATATTGTCAAATATATTAGAGGAACAGCAAGGCCCACATACATGTTAAGTGTGCAAACTCCATTCCTACCCTCTGGATATCTGTTCATGCTCCCAGCATTTCTTGATGCTTGAGTCTCCTCTCCTCTCTCTTGTTCCTGGGCTCTCATGTATGTGTTTGTCAAGAGGTATGAGGCCCTCCACCCTCCTGGGACAGAGCTGGGAATAAACAGTGAACAAACCAGAATAGATCCAGACCGTAGTTGGCAGAGACCCAGATGGCTACGTGGGGCCTGTGTGTAGTAACTGTGTGGTAACCCACCCCACAGCTTGACCTGGAGGAGGAGCAGGCCTCAGTGTTATGACTCCTCTGGGACCGGAGGGATTTCAGGGAAGTCCTGCTTGCTTCCCTCACTTTCGGTTCCTGTCTTCAGGTGAGGACAGAGAGGTAGAGAAAATCTACCATAGTTGCTATCCCTCCCTATGGGAGGAGGAAGCAGGAACTCTGCTCCACACCATCCCAAACTCTAAAATGAGTGTCTAGATAAAACCCGGGGCCTTGCTGTAGCTTCATGCCTTTCTCACACAGCTGCTAAAGGTTTGCTAAGGCCCTGGCCATGAGTGTGCTGCCTACCTGGACTGGGCTGGGTAGGAGCTTCTGTTGCCACACACACATACACACACACACACACACACACACACAGAGAGAGAGAGAGAGAGAGAGTACATACACACACACACAGAGAGAGAGAGGTACATACACACACACACACAGAGAGAGCACTGTGCTGCTTTACGGAATGTATTTTTGTGTTTTACAAGACAACTTTTGGAAGTCTGTTCTTATCTTCCACCCTGCTGAGTGGGTCATTCTTGTGTCTGCCACTCTGTATATTCTAGGCCAGCTGGCCCATGGGCTTCTGGGTAATTCTTAACTACTGCCCCTCCTATCTTGCCAAAGGAGTGCTAAGATTATGGTTGCATGCCACCACCCCGGCTTTTGTGGGTTCCAAGGATCAGACTCGGGTTGTCGGGCTTGTAATGCCAGTCTCTGGCCTTTCTGCTTCTGTTTCTTTTTATTCATCATTTATCATCATCATCATCATATCAGTTTGTCTCTGTTGTTGACTGAGCCAGTACAGAACAACATGGCAGCTTATGCCCAATGCCCAACACAGTTGAGGGGCTCAGTCACATGACTCTGTGTCATGACGCAGCATGAAGGGTGAGGGGTGGGACTTGAGTTTCACTGTCTTAAGTGATGCTCTGTTGGTCCCCTGCATCAGTGGGCTCACCATCTACATGTCCAACCAACCTTAAGTCAAAATGATTTAAAGTAGGGGCAGGAGGGATGGCTCAATTTTGAAGAGCACCTGGGTTCAGCTCCCAGCACCCACACAGTGGCTCACAGACATCTGTCCCTCTAGTTCCAGGGGATCTGATCCCCTCTTCTGACCTCCATTGTCATTGTATGTATGTGGGGCATATATTCACACATGCAGACAAAACCTTCATACACATAAAAACATAAATCTAAAAACAGTATTTAAAAGAAATTTTAGGGACTGGAGATGTGGCTCAGCGGTTAAGAGCACTGACTGCTCTTCCAGAGGACCTGGGTTCAATTCCCAGCAACCACATGGCAGCTCATAACTGTCTGTAACTCCATTTCCAGGGGACCCGACACCTGTGGCAAAACACTAATGTGCATAAAATAAAAAATTAAAAAAATTTAAAAGTACAGAGGTTCATGTGGCTTTAGTAATTAGCCTGTCACCAAACATTTTAAAAAAAATAAAGAAAAAATTTGAAATTTCTAAAAGAAAACCGAAATTTGAATTTGCCTCATCCTACAAACTCACCCATATCCCCTTGAATGAGGTGATGCACTCTGACACAGCATCTCTTCAAGGCCCTGCATCTCCCTGGCCCTCCATCGTTCCTTCATGTGCTACCTAGCTGAGGCCACCAGGGTTCCATCTGGGAGTGGACATGTGCAGACTTTTCTCCTTGAACAGAGCCATTAGACAACTATTTACATGGCATTCCCATTGTCTTAGGAATTAAAAGACATCTAAAGCAGTGTGGGATATACCTGGGTACCCTCAGATTCCCCATCTGTAGGACCCTGGGACCCATCCCCCAGACAGGGAGAGACACCTGTACCATTGAACACTGTAGGCGTCTTCTCAGCCCATCAGATTCCCCGCCTGAGTACATCCCACACTTCCTTCAGGTGACAGTGACAGCTCTTGATGCCAACACCTGGTCTGCTGCCAAATACTGCTTCCCAGGGGTCTGCTGGCCCCATGTTTTCCCAGTTGGATCCTTTGACCTCCAGCTTTGGGGCTCCTGTGTTAGTTCTGAGTGATTCCCTTCAGGCTGGTTTATAAGCTGGGTCTTATCAGATATGGTGTTGAAACATATGTGTGTTACATCGAATGTGGTGGCTCCCTGGACCAGCTGTCCTGGCTAAGCCAGCCAGATCTAGGCAGAAGGGAAGCTTTCTGATTCCTGGTAAATTCTCTCCTCCCATCCCCCCACTCACTAAATGCAGACCAGGAGGCAATGGCATGGTCCCTTACTCACAGGAGACAGTTGTGACTTCTGCTATTTATTTTTTTAAATGATTAAGCTTGGGTAGAGGGTGGTGCCCACGTTATATATATGATAGAGTACCGAAGCAAGCAAGCTGTCTACACCAGGAACTCCCTTATTGATGTTTAGTTCCATGTCTAATGCTAACTGCACAAGAATTCCTTTGCAGGGCATTTATCCCATGGTCTGCGGGTATTTGTCACTGAAAGGATTGTGCCTCCCTCGCTGTTTTCTCTGAGTGTCTTGTGTGCAGGAACATCAATCTAGCTGCCTAGATTTTGCCCTCTTACCATGGCTTGAGGCCGTGTAGTCAGGTCTAAGCAAGGAGGTGCAGAGGGTGAGTGTGCTTGACTCACTGACCAGGGACAATGGAAAACTAGTGAGGCTTACCACATGAAGGGCAGGCTGCCCATATTCCATTGATGCCTTTACCAAGTCAATCAAATGTGACTTCATGCCAGGGGGGTCCCTACTATGTAACCCAGCGATCCCTTTGGATCCCGACTTAAGCTAGTGTCCCCTAAGGACAGAGCAGACCCTTTGGACAGGAGCCATTCTCACCTCCAGAATGTCTCTGTCTACCCTGTGTCTGCACAGGTGGCTGAGCAGAGAAGTGTTAAGTGCCATTGACTCATTCACTGTTGTTTCCAATGAAGAAATTAAATAATCTGTTCTTTCAAAGTCTTGTGCTATATACCCTGCCTGTATTGTTTCGTGACATGTTTAAAAATCTGACTTGTGGGCCATGACTCTGTAGTGGCAGGAATCAGACCTGGTGCTAAGAATGAATGAGCTTCTGGCCATGCAGTCCTTCATCCGGCAAATGCCAGTTGCCACGCTGTCAGGGTAGCATGGCTATGCTCGATACAATGGTACTCAGTAAATACTACATGAGAAGGTAGGACTTGGGTATTGAAAAGTGAGAAGACACCAGGCGATAATGGTGCATGACTTAAATCCCTGCACTTGGGAGGCAGAGGCAGAGGGATCTCTGAGTTTGAGGTCAGACTGTTCTATAGAGTGAGTTCCAGGATGGCCAGGGCTTCACAGAGAAACTCTGTGTCAAAAAGAAAAGTCAGAAGACTTACATCTGGAGGTCACACATGACATCACAGTGTTTCAGTTTGCTGAAGGTTTTCACCAAAAGAGTCCCATTTTGTCATTGTCACAATCCTGTGAGCTAATTGCCACCCCCCCCCCCACTTCCATGGATAAAACTGACTCTCCCAATTGAACCTGGGTTTTGACTTGCTGGCCTTGTGTATCCCTGTGATATCACAGCTGCTGTGCAGAAGGCTGTGGCTAAATGGATCTATGCAGGAGAGCAGGTGAGGACGGAGTGTGTGATGACTCGGTCCATTTTCCCGCAGCATCCTCTGCTGGTCGTGTGTGCTGGACCCCTTGGGGCTCTGGGTTTTGTGCCTTTTCATTAAAAGCAAACCACTTTGTCGCTCTGTTTCTCTGTGGCCATTAAATAAATTGTCAGATGTTGGGAATGGGCCGTGGCAGAGGGTATTAATAATTGAGTGCTCTAAAATAGGCTTCTGTTTTTGTAGCTTGCCAAGAATATTGGGAATGCGGGCTTTAATGAGATCATGGAGTGTTGCCTACCATCTGAGGACTCTGTCAAACCCAACCCAGGCAGCGACATGTGAGTATGAGGCTGGCCGTTCTCATCTGCTGAACAAAGAGTTGCCCTTTGCCTGTGCCCTGTAAGCAGGGGAACAGGTCTCGGGGTATATCAGTTGTTGCTTGTTTTCATTTTGAATTTTTTTCCCTCTTTAGTCATGTTTGTATGTCCAAATAGACACACGGGGTGGCTAGTTTTGTTAGGAAGTGACCAGAGGACGGAAGGCGATTTAGCTGAGTGAAAGAACGTGCTACCGTGGGTCTTACTCACTGCGCCCCTGCACCCCTTGCCACTGTTCTTTCTCTCTGCCCACTTTCCCAGCATGGTGAACTGTGCCAAGTCATCACAGACAGGTGACTGTGCACCATTCTCTTTGTCATTGTCCTTCGAGATTTATTACCTGTTGTCTCCTCCAGAAAACCTTTGTGTGTGTGTTACTGTTGGTACAAACTGACCGGAGAAGCTGGTGTGCCTCGCTGAGATTCCAGCTGGTCCATTGATGGACCGTATACAGTAGGAATTGCCTGCCAGTTTTATCAAAGTGTTATTCATACATACTGGGCTTGAGGAGGTAGACAAGGCAGTGCCATCCTGCCCCTAGACATCATCCCTGTTTCTTAAAATGGCCTGCTTGCCCACAGGAGGGCTAGAGTATGATGCAAAGTGAGGCAGATAGAAACAGAGGAAGGCTAGATCTCCCAGCCAGCAAGCAGACAACACCTGTGTTTGAGCATCATGATAGCAGGGGAACTGAAGATAGGGGTCAAGAGAAGGTTGTGCAATCTGTAACACAAACTATATTTCACTGGCAAAGGCCTGAAATCGAATTAGTGGTCTGGGTTCTCCTAAAAGACATCATCGAGTGACAGGAGCAGCATCTTTAAGAGCGGTTTTACGGGTGGTCATAGTTTTACAAGTGGTCATAGTGTGTACAGCAGGACACATAGCTTTTTGTATCTGTGCTGTTTGGGAAACTGAGGCCGCACAAGTGCAGCCTGTGCTCTTGTTTTGAACTCTGATCCACCGAGGACACAAGAATATTCTAGAGGGTAAGTAGGAGACTTGCCAGTCGTTGGCTGTCTTGGGCGCCAAGTGTCTTAGACCAGCCACTTGCAGGTATTAGGTTATAGATAGCTTATGTTTTTATCCTGTCCTAAGTGAGCATTTGTGACATGGCATCTCCCAGAGATTGGATAACATGGCTGTAAAGCACGGCTTCTTCATATGAAGATGTTAATTTCACATCTGACCTGGAGACCCTGGTTTGCCATCGATTTCCATGCCACCAAGGGCACATTCTTTATGATCTCAGTCTAAGCCTCGGTTTCTCTAATAAAAAGAGAGAGTATTGGGGAAATTAGAAAGATGGTTTGCAGCCAGCTGGGGTGTGAATCGTGTTGGCAACAGAGTCTAAGCAAGTGCCCCAGTGGCTGACTCTGTTAAGAAATGAGGATCCTTACTCCTCTCTTGGGACCCATGGGTTCACAGTGCCTTGTTAGATAGCTGGAGGACCCAATTTAGTGAAGGAAATGTTGTGGTCCAGCATGGTGAGTTGAGTGACAGCTGACACTTGATGCTGGCTTTCTGGTTGTTTGTTGCTGTGGCCAGAGTCTCCTGGAATGCTGTAATGTCAGTCAGTTTTAAACAGAGTATAGTAATATACTTTCATGTACCAGGAGTGGAGGCCGGAGAGGCGGCTCAGCTGTTAAGAGCACTTGCTGCTCTTGCAGAAGACCTGGGTTTTGGTCCCAGCACCTACATGGTGGCTTCAATGATTCAGAACTACAGTTCTTGAAGACTGAATACCCTCTTTCTGAGGGCACCACACACACACACACCACTTCTTACAAGGCAGTTTATACTTTATTTCTTCTGAAATGATAGCTATTACAGAGATGAAAACATACTCATAGTCATTCTTCTGAAGGTGAGATAAACTATATGACCAGCCACGGTGGTACATGACTGTAATCCCTGCAATGGCAAGGATGAGGCAGGGGGATTACTCGTTTGAGGCTAGCCTGGACTATACAGTGAGTTCTAGGCTAACTTGGGCTACATAGTGAGTTCAGGACTAGTATGGGCAGCATAGTGAAGCCTTTAATCTGACCCTCAGCCACTCAAATAAAAGAAGAATGTTAATTGTGTGGCAGTGTGTGCCTCTGGCAGCTGGTTCTTTCTTATAGCATTCCATCACACCTTACAGGCTACCTGGGTCTTCTTCACATTTTGTCCTGAGAAATTATGTTTCACTCATTTTTGTATCTGCCACCATGGTATGCTGCTTGTAGTTGTTCGGTAAATATTTAATGGCTCAATAAATCAAAGAAATAGCTCCTACTCTGTGCCAGCTTAATTCAGTGGATATTCTGTTTCTAGATTTGATAGAGTGAGCAGCTTGTAGCTTGATATAAACACACACCATCTTCAACCATTTGCTGAAGGGGAAGCCAAAGGCACACCCGCTAATGGCCTGTGAACCCCCAGTTGGGAATGGAGATGGAAAGCTGTGTGACTGGGCCACCCAGAGGCCAGATTGTGTCTGCTCATAGAGGCAAAGTGTTTCTGTTTCTGAGAAGCAGCAGGAAGCCTCAACCCCACTTCCCACCCCCACCCCCGCCTACCCCCAGCAACACCAGATGGATAGGTCTGTGGTGTTCTCTTACTATCCACCACACATCTCAGTCTATACATTACCCAAAACAAACAAACAAACAAAAAAAAAAAAAAGCCAAGAACGTGCTAACAGTATAGTCTGCTCGATGCAACCAGGTGTCACAGAGGGTCACAGATGAACCCCCTTCAGAGATTCAGAGCCCCAGAGCAGTAAATATCCATTTAAGAAACAAAAACCAGAGAGTCTGATATGGTGGTACAAGAGAGGCAAAGACAAGGGTTAGGCGCAGGGACCATGCATGCTGAGCTGAGCTGAGCTGAAAGCTCGGGGTTACAGAAGGGGACAGCAGCAGACAGCATGCTGAGCTGAGAGCTCAGGGTTACAGAAGGGGACAGCAGCAGGCGGCTGAGAGAATGTGAAGAAAGCCACACACTTGGCTTCTGTCTTTATAACTGGTGAAGCCCAGGACTGCTGCATGGGCTTCAATACCTCTGATACTAGAGGCTATACATGCCGTGCTTGAAGAAGGAACCCATAGGGCCCCAAGAGGGCTGGGCAGCATTGTAGATGGTGGGCTAGATGGATCCACAGAGGCCTTCCATGTTCCGCCCATCACTTATGTCTGGTTTCAGGATTGCAAGGAAGGACTACATCACAGCCAAGTACATCGAGAGGAGATATGCAAGGAAAAAGCACGCAGACACTTCGGCGAAGCTCCACAGCCTTTGTGAGGCCGTCAAGACCAGAGACATTTTTGGCTTACTCCAAGCTTATGCTGATGGTGTGGACCTGACAGAAAAAATCCCACTGGCCAATGGGCATGTAAGAGGGGATGCAAAAGGGTGAAGAATTAGGGGTAAAACACGGGAGGTGTGTTGGGCCGTGCTTTTCTCCATATTGTACTCACTCCCTAGAGAGAAATAGGTGGTACATTTTCTTTCAGTTGCTGAAGTGTACTGTATCCTAATTTCCTGAGCCAGAAGTGTTTTTAATTTTGGCGATTTTGGGGTATTGAAATACTTGGTACATTATGAGATCTCAGAGGTGGAATACAGTCGCCTTGTGTCTTTCGAATGCCATATTCATGGAGGTGACCTTGTGCAATGTCACCAGTACTCCTCCGGCTTGACTGTAAGCCATCATCTGAACTCAGGTGTGGAATTTTCCACTTGTCACAAAGGCCAGGATTGTGTCGCATTTTGGATTTATGACTTGTGCTCAGGATGCCCAACCCAAGGCATTTTGATTATCTTCATGTTGTGGGATGACCACAAATCAGGTCATCTAATGTACTTACCTTTTGCTGTGAACACATTTCAAATCCACTCAGCAATTTTGAGTGTATGATTTAAATATGTTATTGACTATCCACTGCTATACAACAAGATCTCCCCCATCCCCTTTTTTAGTCTCACTCTGCTAGCAGTCCTCCTGCCTCAGCTTCCTGGGTACTGAGTTACATTTGTGCACCACCACACCTAAATCGACTCCTTTCAAATGAACCTTTACATGTTTTATTCTTAAGGATTAATTTAATTTTTTGTGTATACACTTGAGCATATCTATGTACCTCGTGCATGCAGGCATCCTCAGAGGCCAATAGAGAGTGTCAGATCCCTTGGAGCTGGAGTTACAGGTGGTTGTGGACCTCCCTATTATGGGTGTTAGGAACTAAACACTAGTCCCTCCGAGAGCAGGAAGTTCTCTTAACTGCGAGCCATGTCTTTAGCCCAGTCGGTTTATTCTTAAGCCAAACATGTAATGCCAGATGTTGAAGGAAAGCCCATCCGTGTTGAAAGGGACTCCAACATCAGAAACTTAAAAAGCCTAAGAGGACCCCACCCCACCCCAAACAGGTCTAGCAAGAGCTTATTCTTGTGGGAAGCTAGTCCCAGAGCATCTCTGAGGCCATGTGAGGAGTGCAGTGCCAAGGACCATCTTGTAGCTCACACTTTCTGGGTCTTCCCAGAAGGGATGGATAGAGTGCCTCCTCCAGCATCCAGAGTATCAACAGTGGTACTGTTGATACTCGAGGAGCTGTCGAGTGTCCTGGTTTCCTGACAGAGTCCCCATGGGTGTGTCCAAAGAGCCTCCACCATCCTGTATGGTTATGTACTAGGTGGGTCCATCATGTTTGGACCCAAACTCCTAGGCTTAGCCAGATCCCATGAGAGGAAACATTATAGGGTAACAATATTTTCTCTTGGTGGCACAGGCTCTTCCTAGACGTTAGCCACTGTCACTTTCATTCTTTGTCGGGAGACGACTCAAGCCCCATGGCTAGGGCAGGATGTGCCTGTACTGCCCAGAGGACTGAGCAGGTGGGAAGAAAGGCAGCCACCCTGTTCATGCCGTCTACATGTTGGGCTTTTCTTTCCCCCTCTCTTATTTGACCCGCCCATCCACCTTCTCTCTCCCTGTGGTGTTGTTGTAGGGATTGGGGACACAGTTGAAATGACTTGAATTTGAAATCCCTTGTATTTCTCACACCCTGTGAGTAAGGAGGGAAGGACCAATCTTACTTTTCTATTTCTGTGATAAGACACCAATGACCAAAGCTCCTTATAGAAGAAAGTGTTTGTTTGGGGCTTACAGTTTCAGAGGGTTAGAGTCAGTGACCATCATGGTGGGGAGCACAGCGGCAGGCAGGCAGGCTTGGTGCTGGGGCAGTAGCTGAGAGCTCACATCTTGAGACACAGACAAGGCAGAGACAGACAGACTGGACTGGGAATGTCACAAATCCTTTTAAAACTTAAAGCCTTACTCCGCCTCTCCACCCCCACACCCTGGGCCAGTGACACACCCTTTCCACCAAAGCCACACCTTCTAATGCTTTCCAGATCGTTCCACTAACTGGGGACCAGGTATTCAAACATGAGCCTAGGGAGGCCATTCTCATTCAAACCACTACATATGTCCTTTGCTGTGGAGATTAAAAAGTGGGTACTCTGTACTGGGGAAAGGCCTCGGAAGAAACATGCCATTTGGCATGATGGTCCTTGGGTTAAAAACAATGCCACAGGAATGAATTCCAAATGTTTTGGTTTGAATTTCAGGAGCCAGATGAGACAGCCCTCCATCTTGCAGTCAGATCTGTGGACCGGACTTCCCTTCACATCGTGGACTTCCTGGTCCAGAACAGGTGGGTGTCGCACTAAGTGGGTACCTTTCATCTTATTCTTGGGTCTTCCCAGGAAGGGACCAGATGCTGTCTCCACCACTGGGTCTCTGTTGCCAAGATACTCATGTCTCGGGTTTAAATATGAATTATGGGAATTCCCTAGTAAAGCCTAGTGTGTGAGAATAGAAGGCCTTCATGGTACCTGCAAGATCCAGTAGCTAGAGTCTAGAAGACACTCCAGGGAGCCATGGCTGCTCAGTTCCCAGCTCTGGGGAAGACCATGTGTGGGGGCCAGGGTCATCGGCTGTGACATGAGCATTTCTCTGGTTTGTCATTTGAATGGGTCTTTTCCCTATCAGCCCACACACAACATCTCAATAGCAGAGAGCTATGAGGAAGTAAGGATGCATTAGCCCCTGGCCTACGCCAGAAACTGCTTCAGAACACTGGGTGAAGGTCTGTTCCTTTGGGTTGAGAGGCTGCTTGTAATCGCTGACTAGAATCGCCTGTTGTGTTGCCTGGGAGTCCCTGTTATTCAGTGTGTGCCACCTCCGTTTGAACCCCTGCCTGGTGGCTTCAAGCCACATTCCAAGACCCTTCAGCTTGTACCGTGACTCTCCGATTGTGCTGGGATTGGCTGTGCTGGAGCAGAGGGTGCTGGTTAAATGCTACAAGTGGAATGGGAAATTCTAGTATGATAGCAACAGGGAATGGTTTATGTTTGTGGCCTCTGCCCCTCCCTGCATCCCCAGGCGATAGAGTGAAGATGTAGCTGGAGAGTAGGAGAGATTTGCAGGATCATCAGCCCTAAGATCTGTGGCTTCCTGTGAAACCAAAGTTCACAGAACTCAGGGTTGAGTCAATTAGACACTGTGTCTTCTGAGCCCAGCCCAGGCCTGATGTAGAATGCTGGACATCTAATAAGTAGCCAGTTTGTGTCTCTGCCTTTGTATAAATGCTCCTGGGACAGCAGCCTGATTCCCCCCTCCCCAGTCTGAAATAGAGTGAAGTCAGCGATAGGAGCATGCATTAGGATAGGCGGGTTGGGGTGAGCTCAGTGGCAAGTGCTTGCTTCACATGCGTGAACCCCAAGTTCCATCTTGAGCGTTGCACAAAGAAAGGAAAGGAAGGGGGTCTGAGCCTTCCCACACCGAGGCGCTGTTTTCCTTCTGCTGGGAGCAGCGGGTGCCCCTGGCCTTCTTCTGCAGTGATGACACTTCGGATGGAAATTGATTTTATCACATATGTTCCTGGTCTTGTTCACAATAGAACAACAAGTGAAAATCTTCCGAAGTATCCCCCTTCACCCATTGCAGGGTGCTGGCCTAGGGCCAGCAGGTTTGCAGGAGTCCTGCAACACTAAACTCAACAGTGGTGTTCTCTTCCCTGATGGAAACATCAAGAAACAAAATGGGGGGGGGGGATAGCTCAGAGGTTAAGAGCACTGGGTGCCCTTCCAGAGGACCCGGCTTCAATTCTCAGCACCCACATGGTGGCTCACAACCATCTATACCTCCATTCCTAGGGCTTACGGTGCCCTCTTCTGGTTTCCATTGGTACCAGGCATGTACATATTGCCCAGACATACATGCAGGCAAAATACCATACATATAAAATAAAATAATTTTTAAAGGAAGAAAGAAAAGGGACAAATGAGAAGTTTGCTTCTCTGGTGTGACAAGGGGCAGGTTGTATAGACTGAACAGTGGGTACCACCTTGTGCTCTGGGTACCACAGGCCTAGAGGGAAGGGGTATACCTTCCTCTAACCTAGTTCTCATACTTCCTGATGCTGCAACCCTTTAATACAGTCCCTCATGTTGTGGTGCCCCCCAACCATGAAATTATTTTCGTTGCTTTTTCATAACTGTAATTTTGCCACTGTTATGAATCATAATGTAAATATCTGATATGCAGGGTACGTGATAGGCGGCTCCCGTGAAAGGGGTCATTCGATCACCAAGGAGTCCCGACCCACAGGTTGAGAACCACTGCTCTGACCCAAATTTAGGAATAACACAGCCACCATTTCTTGTTGGTCTGTCTTGCATCTCTCTGAGATGACCTGTTCCCCGACTGCCCTCACAGTGGTGCCCACTCGCTGTGGGGATGAGTTCCATAAATAATTTGTTTGTTGCCAATTCACAAGTCGTTCCCCAGTCTCCGTGGCAGCTGTCCTCTTGCCTGTGACTATTATTTTATCTTTCTCTGTCTGTGTTCGAGCAGTGGGAACCTGGATAAACAGACGGGCAAGGGCAGCACGGCCCTGCACTACTGCTGCCTGACCGACAATGCGGAGTGCCTCAAGCTCCTCCTGCGGGGGAAGGCCTCCATCGAGATAGGTAAGCTGCCCAGGGTGTGCCCGGGTGCAGGTGGCTCTGCTGGCTTCCCTTGGGCTCCTTTCTGCAGCTCTGCACTTCAGGTGTTAGAAGCAGTTCTCATACTAGGAAATGCCCTGCCCTGCCTGTCTGTCTTCGCCTCCCGCCACACCTGCAGCCATGCCGAAGCCCTGAGCTGGGCGAATCTAGATGAACCTGTGTAGCAACTCTGGTCCCCCCCCCCCAGAATAAGCCTTTTGACAGAGGAGGTGCTGTCACTGCCCCCCTTTATTTGTAGTCCTGAACAAATCCTAATACCCCCTGCCCTTGTTTCCCCTCAGCTGTGGGTCCTTGGCCTGCTGACACTGCCAATGTACAGTTCACCCTGAGCCATCCAGCTGTGCTTGGTTCCTGGAGAAGTACTTTGGAGAAATACTGAACCAAACAAAAAAATAGATGGAAAGATACATTCTGTTTGAAAGCTACACTTATAAAAACAAATCAATCCAGGAGTTGTGGTAAATACATTTGAGAGGCAGGGGGATGACTGTATGTTTGTAGCCAGCTTAGTCTCTATGGTGAGCTCCAGCGAGTCCCAGCTATTTAGAGATACCTTGTCTGAATTTAAAAAGAAGGGGTGAGGGGTAAACACCAAGCGAACCTTGTTGACAGAGACTTGCAGAGAAGAAAGCACCAGCTCAGTCAGATGTCTGACCTACAGGGCTCACTGTCTTCTAGTGTGGGGGTGGGTGCCACTCACTGTGCACACACTTGCTCTCTGGATAGCTTGTCCTTGGGGTCGTGGTTTTAGTGAGCTGGCTGCCTCAACAGTTCTTAGGTAGCTCAATCCTTTCTTTTAAAGTCATAGCTTCTCTACGCTGTTGTATCCTGTACAACTAAATGCGAGCCAGCTCTGCCCAGGTTAACCTGACTGCATCCCATGACTCCGGCTTACTTTAGTGAGGTGTTACGTTACTACCTGAGATAGTCTTCATTATCAGCTTGATGGGACTTAGAATCACCATGGAAACCAGGCTCTGGGCATGTCTCCAAGGGCGCTTCTAATGGGAAGGTCCCTGTAACTATGGATGGCAGTATCCCCTGGGCTATGGCCCTGGACCTACTGAAAAGGAGAAAATGAACTTAGCACCAACACTCATCTCTGTGTTCCCAACTGTGGGTGCCATGTGACCCTCTGCCTCATGCTGCTGCTGCCATGCCCTCCCTCCTACCACGAGACTACCCACAAAGTGGGAGCCATAATTAGCCCTCCCTTCTTCTGAGTAGTTTGTCGGGTGTTTTCATCCCAGCAGTGCGTGAAGTAATTAATAAACAGGCTCGCCCTGAGTACGATGGTTGGCTCTCTATCACTGACAAACACCTGAGGAAATCAGTCTGAGGGAGGGGACATTGGTTATGACTCCTGGTGTCCGTCTGAGGCCAGCTGGGCTTCATGGCTTTGGCCTTGACGTGAGCTGGAAGCTGCTCGCTCACCTTGAGACAGTTGGGAAGTGGGAGGGGAGAGGGACAGGGACAAAATACACCCTCACTGGTGTGCTCCCCCCCCCTCACTTACTTCCTCTAGTGAGGCCTCGTATATCCATTGATACCCTCAACATAAAACCAGATAGAGGAGAAGGTGGGGGAATGGGCACAGAAAGGACTCTCTGAACAGAACACCAATGGCACGGGCACTAAGACCAACAATTAATAAGTGGGACCTCGAGAAACTGAAAAAGGAGATCATTATCTGAGCAGGCCACAGAACGAGAAGAGATCTGTAACAGTTATACATTCACAGAGGGTTAGTCTCTGTTAGAATATACAAAGTCCTAAAACAACCTAGCTGGGCGCTGGTGGTGCATGCCTTTAGTCCAGCACTCAGGAGCAGAGGTTGGGGGATCTTCATGATCCACTCTGTAGCCTGGTCTACAGTGTGAGTTCCAGGACAGTCAGGGCTACACAGAGATATCCTGTCTCGTAATACCAAAAAAAAAAAAAAAGAAGAAGAAGAAGAAGAAAAACAACCTAATGAAAAATATGAGGTACAAACTGGGCCTTGTGACAAATGTCTTTAATAGTAGCCCTCAGGAGTCAGAGGCAGGTGGTTCTCTGTGAATTCAAGACCAGCTTCTCTCTCCTACATAGCAAGTTCCAAGAAAGTCGGGGTTACATAGAGACCCTGTCTCAAAAGGGGGAAAAGAGGAAGTGGGGTAAAGAACTAAGAGTTCTCGAAAGATAAAACACAAAAGGCTGAGAAACACTTAGTTAAGTTCCGGGTGCAGTCACCTCGGTAGCACCACCAGCAAGGTCGCAAGATTCGGCATCTGAGTCTTGGGGGATGCTTTACATGAAAACCATAACACCTAGTTCTGCTGCCTACTTACCTTCCCTTGACTTTCAGCCAATGAGTCGGGAGAGACGCCATTGGACATCGCCAAGCGGCTCAAGCATGAACACTGTGAGGAGTTGGTGAGCACCTACCATGGGCAGATGACCGGGATGTGGAGTTGGGGGGGGGGGGGGAGTAGAGTAGAGCCCATCTCCCTGGACAGCGATAACAAAGGCATAGCACACACAACAGTCCACACCTCCTGGGGTAAGCCAAGTACCCACTGGCCTGGAGGAGCCCTCGAGAACCAGCTGTCCACCCCCTTGCGATGATACTTGTGACTCAGTATGTGCTTATCAGCCATGATAGTAGCCCTGGCTCCTCCCTCAGGCATCTGTAGTAAAGGATAGGTTTCCATACATGGTACCCTTGACTGCCTAGCTCTTGCCACGGTGTGTCCCACTGGCTTTCCTATTTTTGTCCGTAAGCCTGGAGCATGCAGGGCAGTCTGTGCAGTGTCTCTCTGCTGTTATGGAAGTGGAGGGAGTTGCAGCCTCAGCCATCCTGGGTTTGCAGTGGGCTGTGCCTCTTTACAGCTTGGAGACATACCCACGCTGTCTCCTCATTTGATGAGGTTGAGTTAGTTGTACCCCTTTTCAGGATTATCAGAATTGTTGAATTTTTTTAAAGAGGGCATACAGTAAGTACAGAACCCTCAGGACTCTTAATGCCACACAAAAGATGCTTGTGTAGATGCTACCCATCAGTTTTTAAAATCTCTGATCCCTCAGTTTTTGGATGAAGAAGCAAGTACAGAAGAGTCAAGTGACTCACCCAAAGTCACACAGCAGCTGTCTGGCTCTTGGGAACAATTAAGTCCCAAACACCAATACAGATAGTAAATTGACGCACCCCCCTGTACAGCTGGAGTAGAATTAGCCAGCCACTTTCTGCAGGAGAATTGAAGAAAGGGTCGGTTCTCTTACTGTGAGAAGACTGACCTGGCAGCGAACACGTTTCTTCTGAGGTCCAGGCGATGCCCATGCTGTGTTAATAATACCTATAAAAGATGGTCATCACCTTTTAGGTCCCTAAACCCCTTGCCTGTGTGTCAGACTGTGGTTCCAGAGCATCACTGACAGGCAGCTTTAAGGGTCTGGGTCACCTTGAGCATCAGGTACAGGTCCTTCCATGGAGATCCAAGGATTTCAATGAGCTACCCTCATTCAATGAGTGGATCCTCCCTGTGAGTCCTCCAGGCCCTCCTCCCTGACCTGTCTGCTCTTGGTCTGGACACCCATGAGCGTCTGTCATTTGTGGTTGAGCGTGGGGACAGCAGCACTAACTGTTCATCCTCCTTCCTAGCTGACTCAGGCCTTGTCAGGAAGATTAACTCCCACGTTCACGTCGAATATGAATGGCGACTGTTACAGGAGGACCTGGACGAAAGCGACGATGACGTGGATGAGAAACTTCAGGTCTGTGTCTCCCTGCCTTCATGCAACAGCTCTGTAGCCTGGTGCCTTGTGTGTTCTATGATCTGGGTGGGTACCAGGCTTCCCCTTCCCGTTTCTCTCCCTGCCTGTAGCCCACACTGATGGAAGAAGGGAACGGGTGGTTATATGATTTTGGGGAAGAGCACCCCACTTGCTGTGGAGCCACTGTACACCTGCAAGCCGGTGACACTGTTTCTGTGGCTGGTCATGTTTACCTTAGAAACCACCATGTAGGAACCACTCAACCACCTGCCTCTGCCTCCCAAGTGCTGGGACTAAAGGTGTGTGCCACCAACGCCTGGCTAGGACTTCAGTATTCAATGTGAAGTATAAACAGATGATTAATAGGTAGAAATGGAACATGATTAATAGATAGAAACGGAAGCATTTCTGAAGGCTGTTGGACCATCAGTAATGGAAAAGCATTTAGCATCTGTACTTACTGTTTCCTACAGAACAGATATATAAGTGATGGGACATGGTTGCATCTCAATAAATCTTTATTTATAAACACAGAAAGGCACTTCTGACAATCCTGAGGATCTGAGTTTGATCCCTGGGGCTCATATGGTAGAAGGAGAGAACCGAGCCCTACAGTGCTCTGACCTCTACACATACACCTGCACACATACACAAAGAGCAGACTATGTTTTAAAGCAAGTAACAATGCAGACATCAGGACTTACTGATCCCTGATTTATTGGGATCTCAACAGAGGGATGTGAAAAGGACCTGTTGACGTGTGCTGAATTAAGCATGGTGCTGCTGGAGATCCTTTGCTGCTTGGTGGCCAGGGCTGTTCTGGCCCATAAGATAGTGTTAGGGAAGGGGACATCAAGGACAGCATGAGCTAGGCGGGGGTAGCTGGTTGGTACGATGACATAGCTTCTGTTTGAAGTTCTTCACAGAAGGAAGAATTGCAGTTAGTGAACCGTGGCTCTGTAGAGATGTGTGTCGTAATTATAAGACACTGGGTGAGCTGAGTGGCTTTTAAAGTCTTGCAGCTCAAATGCAGCAGTGTGTGTGTGTTTGTCAGGCCGAAATGGTGCCCACCATGCAACAGTGATGGGTGCGCCTCACTGCTTCTTTGAGTTGATATCACCAGGACAAAGCCATAGCTGCATCTCACGCTCTTGCCCTGGCATTCCTCTGCAGCCCAGTCCTAACCGGCGCGAAGACCGCCCGGTCAGTTTCTACCAGCTGGGGTCCAGCCAGTTTCAGCCCAATGCCGTGTCTTTGGCCAGAGATACCACAAACCTCGCCAAGGACAAGCAGAGGGGCTTCGGGCCTAGCATCTTGCAGAATGAGACCTATGGAGCCATCCTGAGTGGCAGCCCGCCCTCCTCCCAGTCGTTACCCCCTAGCACCACCAGTGCACCCCCACTCCCACCTCGGAATGTTGGTGGCAAAGGTGAGACCCCTGAAAATGCCCACGGGCTCTGACTTCGAGAAGTTTGATGCGTGGGTGTTTATTTTGTAGCTGTTTTCCGTTTGCTGCCTTGAGGGATTCCCATAATTTTAACATGCCAAACCTGTAGCCTGTGCCTGGGTTCTTACTCTGGCAGAGGTGTGCACGGGGTAATGTAGGGCTGCCCTGGGCAAGCTAGAATGATGTCCTGCAGCTGCTCAGCTGCCCCTCTGCCCTTCCCACCTTGCTCTTCTCATCCGGTCCCCACTTGGTGTCCTGATTACTCCCTCTCTTCTTTCTCAGGGCTAGTTTAAAGTGCTGTGATGACTTAGTGTCTCTAGAATACCTTTGAAATGAGGAGCAAAACGTAGTAATTTGGGGAACAGTGCTCAGCCCTAATTGTGAAAACACCAATGTGTGAGCCTTCCTGGTATCTTAAGTGTGACAAACTCACAAAACTACCTCACCTGAACATAGCAGACCCACCCAAAAGGTGGCTCTTTGTGTGTGTGTGTTTGTTTGCTTTTACAAGTACAGAAACATGGAACCGCTTGTGTGATAGTAAAGACCAGTGGGCCATTCTGCTCTTTGAAGTGGCCAGCAAATGGCCAGCTCTGCCAGAGCTGCCAATCCTCAGGGCCTTCAGAGTGAAGGAGGGACTTCCCCTGGAAAGAATAGTGGCTTCCACTTCCCATGCATAAAATCATTGCAAATTGTCTCTTCCAATAGCTGGCAACTGGAAGACAGGTGGGCAGTGTGAGGTGGTGCTGGGTATACTGAGTTGCTAGAAGATCAAATGTGCTAGAAGACCACACACACCACATGTGTCAACTGCCCTGCCCTAACACTCAGGGAGGCCCAAAAAGTTAGGTGAGTCAGTAAGGAGCAAAAGAATGAAGATCAGACCCTGTACCCCCTGCTCCTACCGGCACCCCCACCTAACTCGTCTGGACATCACAAGCACTCCCTGTCACCTCCTACAGGCTGTCCAGGGCAGTGCAGGTCCTTGTGGGCATCTCACAGCTCCTACCTCCTGTGTTAATTCTGAAAGGCCAGTATCAGAGAGACTGGGTATCTCTGTGATCCTGGCATTCCCAGGAGTAACTTGTGCTGGCTCTGTGACAGCAGAGACTTCATTCACTCCCCCCCTGGATGGAAGGAGAGGGTTGGTCAGCTCCTCATCTTGACTTTTTGCAGTTTTGGAAACAGGGATTGCTTCTCCCACTTTTTTGGGCCATCCTGTCTTTAGCTCCATTCCATTTTCACATGAGAAAGTTGTACCAGTACCCTACACCTTTCCTGTCCTAGAGTCCAAGCTTGGTATGAACATGGAGTTCTCGCACCCTGAGGTGGGGGATAGAGTTAACACTGCCCTGTGGCTCACCCTGGGGTGCAGAACTTCCTTACCAGGCAAATGTGAAGGCTTGCCTGTCAGCCCTGGGCTGGCCTGGGAGGATGTGTCTCCACACTGCCAAGCCCAGCCCTCCCCTAGACACCCCTGTGCATCTGAGTAAATGGCACACGGTGAGAAAGAACATGACCAGGCAAGTGCCATGGCTTTGAGGGTCACCTGATACTACTGAGCTACCAGATCATATGTGCTGAGTTCCAGGCAGGAATTTTACAGGGGGCCGGGGAGAGCCCCGCCCCTCATGTGTGGGACACACCCTTCCTTCCTCTTCCCACACTTTCTGAGGACAGGGTCTCTGTGGCCCATGGTAGGAGGTAATAGAAGGCAGAGATGTTCCATAGGCCCAGAGTGTAGTACTCATTAGATTTATGGCTATAGTTCCTCCTTCACCATCAAATTGAAAAGGCCACCTGTGAGAGTTCCCTGTAGCAGTTTATTATTTTATTATTATTGTTGGTTTTGGATGCATCTCACTTTTCCTACTAGAGAAAAGACTTGAGTCTCAGGGTTCTGTTGCTGTTCTAGAAGGCTCATGTTGATCTTTTAATGGGTGAGAGGATCAATAGCAAGTGTTTTGTTTCTGTTTTTGTTTTGTGTGTGTGTGTGTATGTGCGTGTGCCTGTGTGTGCATGTGTGTATGCGTGTGGGTTTAGTTCAGACAGCCACCTCAGCTAACACCCTGTGGAAGACAAACTCTGTAGGTGTGGACGGTGTCAGCAGGCAGCGATCTTCGTCAGATCTGCCAGCTGTCCACCCACCGCTGCCCCCCTCTGCGAGTGACATCTACCAGTACGTTTTTTTTTTTTCTCCTCCTTTTTCCTTTCTTGCCAGTGGGCCTTATGAATCCAGAAAAAAAGGGGGCACTGTTGGCAGCCATTTTGGGGATATAGCTGTGGGCTGCTCACAGATGCATAGTAGATGTTGCCCTTGTGGCCCTAACCCTTGCAGCCTCCATCTCAAACCTCCGTCTATTCCCTCACCACCCCCCACCAAGGTGGCTCACTCGTCTCTGTCTTACCGGGCATTTTAAAAACACCCCTCCCCCACACACACAACGTACTTCCAGTCCCTTTCGCTGCATAGTGATTTTGGGGTGGCCATTTCATGACCTGGCATGATAACCTTCCACGCCAGTGTGTGGTTGGCAGTTCCCAGTGCTAGGAGCTGGGCAGAGGCAAGGGTCCTTTCTCCTGCTGTGGAGCCCAACATTTTTCACCCTGTCAGTGGCAGAACAGCATGTCCAGGAAGCTCTGTAGAGGATGATGTGGGGCAGGGTCCAGCTGTAGTAGTCTCAGGCCAAGCATTAAAGGACTCAAATCTGCTCTCCCTCCTGCCTCTATAATGGTGCTCCTGGGTTAATCTGCCCGGGGTTTCTGTCAAAACAAAAGGAAAGAGTGAGGGGAAGGAGCCATAAACTAGAACCTTTTGGGTTTTTTTTTCCCCTCTCCATAGTCCTTGTTCTACATATGTTTGCTCCCATCCTGAGGGGGGCCACTGACAAGGGCCTGGTGCTGTTATTTTTAAGATGGGTGGGGTAAAGGAAGGCCCAGGCATGACATCTCATCCTCTGCTGGTGGTGTTTTTTTGTTTTGTTTTGTTTTGTTTTTTTAGAGCTCTGCCTACTTTGGCAGTATCAATTTGCCTCTGAGGCTGAGCCTGTCACCTGGATGATGCAGATAGTAATAGAAACCTCCTTTCCCCTCAGACTGGGGACCTCATACTACGTCCATTGTCACAGTTTGTCCTTAGAGCTTATCCCCCTACAGGCCAGTGGGGGTGCATAGGTTTTTGTTCCCTTCTGGGTCATTTGATGCAAGAAGAACCCTGGCCCAAGCATTCTGGGTACCCCAGGGCAGATGCCAGGCTTGATCCCAACCTGTCCTGCTGGTTTGGAAGAATCCAGGGCTGGCCCTGCGCAGGTTTCCAGCTAAACACACACAGGTCACAGCAAAAAATCAGTTGCAGCTGAGGCTCCATTTCCTTGATGGTTTGCTCCTTGCAGTCTCTCTGAGGAGACAAGCTGAGAAGCAGCCATAGGAGTTCCCAGAAGGACCATAGAGAGGAGGAGGCTCCAGAAAGAGACTAGGTCTGAGACCTGTGACCTAGGGGAGCTCACTATCTCTTTCCCTCCCCGTTATCTCTCCACAGATCCCCTGACCACCACACCACCCCCCTCCTGTGGCTAAGACTTCTGGCACACTAGATGTTGTGAGCCAGCCAAGCAAGCCCACCCAACCCCGGAGCCTCGCAGAGCAAGCTGCCACCTCAGCCGCCCAGCCGCCCACCTCAGAAGAAGCCATCTTCCGGGTGGGTAACCATTGTCCCTGCCTGGCCTCTGTGCCTGGCCACAGCAGCCAACATTGCCTCTCACATTCAGAGGGCTTCCAATGGCATTGTCCTCTTTTCTTCATCTGTTGGGACTTCTGTGTGAACCTTGGAAATCTCCTGTGTTTCTACCATCCCTAAGGGTGAGAGGCCAAGTGCTGTGTAAATTGCTGATCAGCTCTCAGGGCTCTTAATGTTAATTCCTCGAAGAGTTTTTAGCTGGAGATCTATTACAAACTTAGATCTTAAACCGAAGAATTAATTTAGATTTTTTTTGTGTGTTAACACTGGGATTTTTTGGAGTCAAGTCCTTATGACTGGAGCCCTCTGTTGGTTCTGTTTTGCTCCCTAGAAACATCCTGAATGCATGTCTCCTCCACAGATGTGCCGGTTTGATGTTTCCTAAAGACAAGGGCTTTCTCCTTCGTGCACACACCGCAGAGGGATCCGGTTACCTTTTTTTTTTTTTTCTATACAATAATTTATTTTTACTTTATATGAATTGGTGTTTTGCCTTCTGTATGAGGGTGTTGAGTCCCCTGGAACTGGAATCACAGGGAGCTGCCACGTGGGTGCTGGGAACTGAACCCAGGTCCTCTGGAAGAACAGTCAGTGCTCTTAACCTCTGAGCCATCTCTCCAGCCCCCTGTTACCTTTTTTAAAGCATTTAGAAATTTTTAATTTTATTTTATGTGTATGGGTATTTTGCCTGCTTGTGTGCCTGTGTACCTCGTATATATCTGGTGCCTAAGGAAGCCAGAAAGGAGCGTCATATCCCCTGGAACTGGAGTTAAAGATGATTGTGAGCCACAGTATGGGTGCTGTGTGCCGAATCCATGTCCTCTGGAAGAGCCAGTGTTCTGAACCACTAAGCTATCTCTGCAGTGCCACCCCCATCTCTAAATGTCTTATTCTATGTCTAACAGTAGAAAATAGGTTTCATTTCAGTCTTCTCTGTGAGTTCGCTGTTAAGCCATGAGGTCTGGGTAGAAGATAATGTGCTCAGAGCTACAGGATACATATGCACACAAATGTCCCTCTGTCTGTATTCTGTAGCTTTCTCTGTTGGGATCCAGGTGTTCATATCAGCATCTCCACTTTCTCTCACAGAGACAGGGCCAGTACTTAATGTTCTGAGGCACACCGTTCACAAGTCCTGTCACCAGGATTGGGTGACACAGTGGGGCAGTTTGTCTTTGTCGCAGCTGAGACCCCCTAGGATGGAAGTGGCCTGGTAAAGGCTGGTGTCATGTGGCCTTTGTAGCTGTTGCTGCCTTAGCAGCACTTGAGCCAACCTGCTGACCACAATGCCCACATGCAGATGATCTCTTGAGGTGGTGTGACTTCCTCAAGACATGGGGCCTGGGCCCAAGGAAGGCCCAAGGCAGGGCAGGACACGTTACTTTTGCCCCTTTTATTTGCTTGAATGGTGCTGGAAGCTGGGCCTGAATGTGTAGTAGAGGGTTCTGTTGGGACACAAAACAGCAAGGCTGCATGTTCATTCTCTCAGATCCCACACTTGTTACTCCTTCCTCAGAGCTGAGAATTTTGGCTCCTATGCTCAGTAATGTTGTCGTTCCTTCCCGTGAACATACTCCTGACTCCGCCTCCAACAGTCCTAAAGATGAACCCTTCTTTCCCTGCTTGGATCAAATCCAGTTCCAGCAGACATGCAGCCTCTAGGCCCATCCCCACCAGTGCAGGCCAGGCGTCCCCTGCCTCCTCATGTCACCCAGGTCACTCACCCGCAGCCTGTCCTTCCCCCTGCCTGGTTCTGACAAACCTCTTGTCTGGATGCTTGTCTCTTTTAATCTAATTCCCACTTCTCAGATGTCAGGCTAATTGGCCTTTCCTTTAAATACGCCATCTTAGTTTTATCAGATAACCCAAGATCTGACAGCTCCCCCAGATCCCAGAGGTGAAATCTGGGTAAACACCCCTGATTGACCCTCAGACTCAAAGCCCCGTATCTTTCTGCCTCCTCCCCTGATATCTTTTGGGGCTGAGTCACTTTCAAAGAGAAAATGTGGTGGTGGCAGCATGTTAGCTCCTCATACCTTTCACCAAAGCGGGTCTGGTGGCAGGGCTTGGAATGCCTACAGCCGGGCTCTATAGTGTAGCAGTCAAATGGGTGAGTCGGTTTCCTCCTTAGTTGCCATTCTGCCATCTTCTTCAATTCCTGTGTTGTTTCTGTGCCTATAAAAAATATACTTCCAGGGGGCTGGAGAGATGGCTCAGAGGTTAAGAACAATGGCTGATCTTCCCAAGTTCAATTCCTAGCAACCACAAGGTAGCTCACTACCATCTATGAGATCTGGTGCCCTCTCCTGGTCTGCAGGCACACATGCAGGCAGAACACTATATATATATATATATATCCAGAGAGTTTTCCCAATTTTACTCTTAAGTTTTCCATTTCCATTCTTATGGTAAGTCAAACTGTAGCACAAATAATAAAAACCCAGAGACAGATATTGGGATTAGAGCTGAAGACCAGAGAAGCAAAGCAGCAAGCCTCTAGAGAGTTCTCATGTCTACCAGTGCTCAGACCAGAGGGACAGTCGTGTCCCCTGATTGCATCTCCAAATTGCACTGCTCCTCAGACTAGACTGCCCTCTGCAATGAGTTCTGTCTCTTCCCACCTTAGTTGTCCTCTCTCCACCCAGCCGTGTCTCTCAGTCCCCACCTCCCTAGAGCTGGGATTAAAGGCGTGGGATCCCAAGTACTAGGATTAAAGGTGTGAGCTCTGTTTCTCTTTTAGACTAATTCATTTTTCATGTAGCCTAGGCTGGCCTTGAACTCACAGGGATCCATCTACCTCTGTCTCCTGAGTGCTGGGATTAAAGGTGTGGCCGCTACTGCCTGGCCTCCATGGCTATGGCTAGCTTAGCACTCTGATCTTCAGGCAAGCTTTATTAGATCATAAACAAAATATCACCACAGCTCTTCACTGAGCTGCAGCCCCAGGCTGCAGCCTGGCATTTTAAAATCAAAATATGTGTCCTACTTTGCTAAGACATCTTTTTAGAACGCTGCATCATAATATTCTTAAACAGTGATTTGAAGTAAGGTTGGCAGCTGAGTTTTATACAAGTATGCTTCCCTGGCCCCTTTGTTAGACAGTCATGGTCCCTGTGTGCGCTTTCTCTTCCCTCTTGTGACACTCTTGGATTCTCTGTTGCCCACATTCTGCTTTTTGTGGTGCCAGGTCACATCTTGACATTCCAGACAGGAAGCAGTGGGCTCCTGGCACTCCCGAGGCACAGGGGAACAGTGATACTAGCCAGCAAGTGCCAGGTCACAGCACCCTCCTCCCAGCCACTTCCCCAGGGCTCACAAGAGCCAAGCTAGGGTTGGATGAGCTTTCCCACTGGTTTTAATCCAACTGAAAGGCAAGGTAGGGTGACAAAGCAGATGATGTTAGGGTGTGCTTATCTGAGGCAGATTTCAATGAATGGAACCAGGCTGTCACTTCTGGGAGAGTTCCAATTTTAAAAGAAAACATGGTGTATATTCTTTGTGAAGGAAGCCCATCCCACTCTATGCCCAATAATTTGGAACATGATATATTTGTTCTCTTAGAGCAGGAGACAGCCAGAGCAAACCCACAGGCCAGCTGCCTCCATTACTTATATCCATGAGTCACAAGCTATCAGCGGCATTTGTACTTAAATGTAGTGATAGAATTTTCAGATGAGAATGTTTCATGGCATGTGAGATTTCTGGGACTTACAGATTTTAGCATCTGTGTCCTATTTACTGTCTTCTTGCTGTGAAGAGCCACCATGACCACGGCAACTTACAGAAGGAGTTTATCAGGGTTCACGGTTTCATGGTCAGAGTCCATGTCATCAGGGTGGGGAGCATGGCAGCAGGCATGGCCCAGGAATGGTAGCTGAGAGCTCATCCTGGTCCACAGGCCTGAGGCAGAGAGGGGTGGGAAAGGCACTAGGCATGGGCTTTTGAAACCTCAAAGCCCACCACCCTAGTAACCTGCCTTCTCCAGCAAGGCCACACCTTCTAATCCTTCCCAAACATTTCCACCAACAGGGGACCGAGCATTCAAATCTATAAGCTTATGGGGGCTGATCTCATTCAAACTACCATGCCTATAAGTGACGTTTTGTTGGCATGGCATACTGTGTGCTGACACACCATCCCTGGTACCTTCCTACCTCATTAGCAGACAAAGCTGAATGGTTGCCATAGAGACTAACTCACAGATGTATCATTTGGCCTTTTACTTTTTATGTATTAGCCTAGGTTAGCCTTGAACTTGTGACTCTTCTGCTTTACCTGGCTTTGAGGGCAAGGCTGGCTGGCTGTGGTCCTCGGTTAAGCACCTCTTGTTGAGCATTTTACTGAACACAGAGTAGGAAGTTGGCAACTCAGCTTCATGATGTCTGCTAGGACATATGTGCCCAGAATCAATGGGAACTAAGTTGGGTCTTTGATTTTATGGTTTTTCAGCCCCTTGAAAATTAGACAACAACTAAACTGTTCTTTTCCTCTTCATCCCAGCACCCAGATGGGCTCATTGGGGCTGCAGAGGAAGTGACCTGCTGTGGAAAGAATGCCACCCCAGTCTGCCTCCCTGCTTCCTCAGCCCCTCCCAAGGCTCACTTACCCAGTTGTTTGTCTTACTTCCTGCTAGGTCCCACCAGCACCCCTAGGCAACAGAGGATAAAACATCTCTCTTAACTCTCTGCAGACCCTGGTCCCTTTTCCCTTTAGAGAATTAGCAAAGCTAGTGTCCTGCCCTCTTCTGAGGAGCCGGGGACACACACACACACACACACACACACACACACACACACACACACACAGAGAGTGGTCTGAGTGGATAGAGCCCCCTCTGCCAACTGTGAGAAAACTCCTATTTGTCTCTCTTGCACAGCTAGAGGAAATACTGGATTACTGGATGCGGGTTCTAGCAGGCCTGCAATCAGCCCTGTTGGTTCCCAGAGCCGGGGCCATGGAGTTCAGAGGCATGGGTGATGCTGACTTGTGCTGGTGTCTACACAGACCCTGGCAGAGCCACCCAGGCCTGAGGAGTAAGCTCTAGCCCCTCCCCCTTTCACAGGATGATTGATGGAGGCTCAATGGGGGCCGGAGGAGCAAATGATGAGTGCAAGCACTGGAGGGTGCTTAGATTCTGCTCCGGGCCACTGTGGACAGGAGAGTAGTGCTGGTCTGGGGACCCGGGTCTAGCACCTTGCCCCGGACCTATCCTTTTTCAAGGGTAGGGTTGGGGAGGCAGCAGGTGTGGCAAATCACAAGCATGAGCTTGAACACCGACGGGCCCCTCATCAAGGTCTGAACAGGTAGCCTCGGCGATCAATAAATCTGTATTTCCTTCCTTGTAGGACCGACAAGCCAACCCCACTGATCAACAAAGGCCAGCCAAGAGGACCTGGTAATTATTTAACCTGGAACAGGTTGATTCATGGGTTGTGGGGAGGTGGCATTTCTAGGTAGCTAGTCAGCCCTGGTTAGGGCCTGGAAACTTGAGTTTCTCACACTGTAAAGTCAGGAAACTGTCTGCCTTGTACAGGACTTTTCTCTCAATACAACAAAAGGCATGGAGAGCCTGCTTTTAGACATAACGCCATGACTCTTACAGCTGTAGTCTTATAGTTAAAATGGATGGAACGGAGCTGGGAGTATCTTGTAAAGTCGCTTTGTCTTGGTCCTAACGCAGTGGATCTCTCTGAACAGAAGCTCCAGGTCCACTGTCCAACGCCATGGCCCTGCAGCCTCCAGCACCCATGCCCAGGAAGTCGCAGGCGGTAAGAAGCTTGCTACCCTGCCCCTTGCTGTCCTACATGGAGGACTCTAAGGCAACCAATCGTTCTGTTTCTGCTGGGTGGAGGTCTCAGGGCTTCTTTCTGGTGCAGTGTCGTGGTTGGGGAGCTGGCCATCTGGGCCATCTGATCACTTTATAGTCCCTGTGTGTGCCAGACCCCAGGTGCTCCATTCCCTTCCTCTGCACTGAGCTGTCCCTGTTTGCTTGACCTCTGTGGGTTTCCTAGCCCAGGTACTTGGCTCATGAGGCAAGCAGAAGACAAGAGGCCCCTTCTTCATCTAAGACCTTGGCTTTCTGCCACATTAACCCTCTCCCTCCTTCTGATGCAGACCAAGTCCAAGCCCAAGCGAGTCAAAGCACTCTACAACTGCATGGCTGACAACCCAGATGAGCTGACTTTCTCTGAGGGGGACGTGATCATTGTGGACGGGGAAGAAGATCAGGAGTGGTGGGTGAGTCAGAGCGGGGCCATGGTGGCTGTGCACAAGGGAAATTCAACCCAAGCAGTCTGGCTCTGGTGCTGCTGCCAGATTAGTGTGCAATGCCTTCCACATCCTGGTGTCTCTCCTGTATGAACACCGTTCTCTGAGTGGGCCTGATGTGTCCTTAGGTGAACTCCTCACTGTTATCATGGATAGGCCACTTGAGCTTCATTTCCACAGCACCCTTGACCTGAACTGAGTTTCCACACACAGCCCTCCACTGCCAACGTGTGGAGCAAGGCTTCTAGAGAGCGGGGGCTCCAGGGTAGCATCCTCGTGTCACTTTGATGATCCCGACACAAGCTATAAGCTGCTCAGCATCCAGCTGGTGAAAGTGCAGCGTGTGCAGGCGTTAGGCTTCTCCCAGAAACCCTGTATTTCAGACTCAACCGATTACAGGCTGAGGACCTTGGCAGCAGGTGCTTAGATCTGTACACCTGATTGACTGTCTCAGAAAGGAAGTCATCCACAGCACTGCAGCAGAGATGCCTCGGGAAGCAGCAGGGACAAGCTAGGTGTAGACTGGGAATGCGGGTGTCTAAATAAACCAGTGGAATGGAGTATACATAGAAAGCACCTGGCAGAGACTGCCAGCCTCGGGGCACTCAGGGCAGACAAAGCTCAGATACCAAGTATTTCAGAAGGTTCCTTGGGACTTGGGGAAGTGCTTTGCTTGTCAGCCACAAGGAGTTTGACCTGATCCATCTGTAGCTGCCCCTCCTGCAAGCCCCCCTTCTGCAACCTGACCCCAAGGTTCTATGGTGGGTCTGTGGCTCGGCCTTGCCACACCGCGTTGGCACAGTTGCTGTCACCTTGAAGCAACTAAGGGAAGATGCCCATTCCCATCACTTTCCACATTACCACAGCTCCAAGGCTCCTTCTGCTACTTGCCAAGGAACTTCCTGTACATGGCTGGACCTGGGGAGACTAGAACACTGGGCTACTGGAACCCGACCTTGCCCCTCCACAAGGGGCACCAACACCCACCACTAGGAAGCAGAGTTGGAGTCACACTGTCTTTCATCCTATGTTATGGGTGGACTCCAACCTGACACAGGCTTAGCCATATGAGAAGTACCTGTTTGCAAGTTTGGAAAACCCAGACAGGCACAAAAGAAGTAAATGTTAGTCATGACAGCAGAGTCTGCCCCCTCCAGAGAACCCAGAATTCTCAGTGGGCAATTGCCGGGAGGGGGTTAGTTTGGCAATTTTACTTTGGGATTTTTATTTGCTAATATCAGACCATGGTTGAGCTTATACATGAGTATAATTTGTGTTATTTACCCAGATTGAATTTTTTAGAGCCAGATGAAATATGATTGGAGCCACATCATACTTTTGCCAAGTCTTATGTCTTTGGGTACAGTTTCTTCATTCATATACTAAGTGGATCCAGATGGCATCCTGGTGTCTTCCATGTTCTTGGGGCCCAGAGGCAACATCTGAACTCATCTGTAGCTCTTTGAGGGTGTGTGAGGCCTGTGGAAGAAGCAAGCACAGGTGGGAAGGAAAAATGGCATAGCAGTTTTCCTGTCATTCTTTGGCAGAAGAAATGCCTCAGAACAGACATTGTGTTGCCCCTCTGAGTTTGTAATGTTTGTAACCCAAACTTGCTCATTTCAGATTGGCCACATCGACGGAGATCCCAGCCGCAAAGGAGCATTCCCCGTATCGTTTGTGCACTTTATTGCTGACTAACTTGCTACTGAACAAAGGCCTTTCCATCACCATTACGTTCCATTTTGTTTTTGGTACCAAGACTAGCTATAGCAAGTCTCATGGATTGTCCTGTATGGCAGTCCATCTTCTCATAGTACCGTTCTGTTTGGAAAACTCAGAGGCAGTTTTTATATGTATAAGCAGATTCTTTTTTATAAGTTGTTTTCACCCAACATTTGCTATACTTTTACTAGGAAAAGCGGAATTTCCTAAAAGGGGACATAAAGCTATTTTAACTATAGACCCAGGATCCTTCATTTCCAGGAGCTGCTGAGCCTAAAAATGCTTGAGCAAATTTGGGGGATTCTTACAGCTTTCCTTAAGCCAGTTCTGACCTTGGTTAGTGTTAGTACAGTCAGTGTAGCAGGCCAGTACCATGCTGCTTCCTCTGTTGCCCTACCCTGAACTTTGTCCACAAATGGCATCTATTCACCTTTAAGTCATATATTCCTTTGAAACTCAGCCAGTGTCTGTTTAAAGCAACTTGGCAGTTTACATGTTAGCCTTGTACTTTTCTGGGCCCTGACCTATGAGGTGGCAGCCGCCATGATCTCCTGCATGTATGTATGACCCGTTGTGAACAGTCACACCTAACATACTACTGATGGGTTATTATGACATAGCAATTAGCAGTCTGTTCTGTGCCAGTGTTCTTGAACTACAGTTCCTGAATTTGGTTACAAACTAAGGATGATGGATTGCAAAACAGCCCTTTAAATAGTTTGTATGCCCTAGGTGTTTAGGATTTGCCTCCTTCAACGTTCCCCGTCTACGCGAAAGCAACTATACACAAGTAGACTACGTGGTGCAGACCACGCTAAGCAGCACATTCCTCACTGTGTGTGTCCCGGTGCGTGCCACTGTCTCCCCTCCCAGCTCCCAAGGACACCTGCTCAGCTTAGTGTTTAGTCTTTAATAGGATTCTCCAAAAGGAATGGTGGTGGTAGCTACACTGTCTTGAAATCTAGCCTGTCCAATTGTTTGTATTTCAAGAGCATATCAGAAATCTGTCTTGCCTGGGGAGCCCCAAAGGTCCCAGTTGCACTACATAAGGCCATCACGTCACTTTTAAACTTACAATATGTGGGTGTGGGGGAGGGGAACTAGGTTGTATTTGATAACAATCAAAACTCATTAGTTCATGAACTTGACTGTCATACCTCTATTTAATAAGTGTAAGCATAAAGGTCATAGTTGAGATATGGGAAATTCTGTCACTTTTTCGGGATGAAGAGGCAAGCATAGGGTGTGAACAGAAGCTGGAGTTGGAGCAAAAGGAATGGGTTGAAGTGTAGGCTTGGCAACAAGGCATGGATGCCGTCGCTGGCACTTGACTGGAGTAGCTCCGTCTTTACTCTTTGTGCCAGGCTCTTACAAGAACGGAGCTTCCCTTTGTTTCAAAGAAAACAGGACAAACTGGAACGTTTTATGACGCTTCTGATTCTGGGTAAAAAAAAGTGTTAGATCTATAATTAAGTCAGTCTCCCTCCTCCTCCCTCTCCCTGAACACTACTCGTTATATTTCACTAGTTAATTTCTACCGTTTGAGCCCTTCTCCCAGTCACTTCTCGTAGACTTAGAGCTTGAACAGACACATTTTGCACATTGCACTTCCCAGTACCTCTTTTACAGTGCTCCCCACCCCCTGCATCTGTACTGTCGGTCTTTGGAGACCCGGTGACAGGTCTAGGAGGAATCCAGTTGATTTATGTCAACATTTGAACTCCAGTCCCAAGCTAACTTGTGGGGTTCACTGGTACTTAAATGCCTAGGTAATATTTTTCCACTTTCTGGTGGTGCTATTGTGCGTGAACAGATAGTGCTTTTTACCAGAAGAGAAATTCTATTGACTTTCCTCCTAATTATCCTCTCTTAGTTATTTGCTCTTTGCAGATTGAGAAGAAAAAGTTAACTGAAAGCATTGTAGATATCTATTTATATTTAAAGTTTACATTTCACAGGAGTCAGCTGTGGAATTCGGGCTTCTTTTATTTTTTTATTTTTTTGCCACTTTCCATCAGGTCTGAGTTGGAGGGAAGATGACTCAGAAATATGATGCACAGACTAGTGTGATCTGTTGAGAGTGGAGAGTGACCTGCAGCCTAGGATGCTCTCTTGAGATGTATGATATTCAATTCATTCACTTGATGATTGATTACTTTGGTCAAGTTGCTGTTGAGGGTGGAGAGTGACCTGCAGCCTAGAATGCTATTTTGAGATGTATGATATTCAATTCATTCACTTAATTACTTTGGTCTAGTTGCAGCGCAACTGTATATACTGTATAACCTAAACGGATTATTTTCATTGTCCTTAATGCAGTGGTTTATAATTAGAGCATGTCTAATAAATTGACTTCCCTTTAACCAGACATTTGACTGGAAAAAAATAAAATTCTTTTAAATTGACATGGTTTTCATCTTTAAGTGTTAGCTATTGGCACTGGACAGAGGGTGTGAACTGTGAGATCCTTTTAAAGCCATTTGCCAAAACCAGCAGGCATCCTCCAATGTAGACACTAGTGCGCTGGATATTATGCAGACAGGACCCTTCTGCTGGGGGTGCTTTTTGTCCTGACACTGCTGTCATTATTCCAAGGTCATGTGAAATTGAAGTCCCCAATTCAAACCTATGCCTGCCCAAACCCAGATTACCACACAAGTGACCCAAGTCCCTGGGAAGGTATAGGGTGCAAGTCTCATTCAGAGTGAACTTCTGTGACATATCAGTGTTAATTAGACTTTTTTTGTATTTTAAAAAGACAACAGGGGGTTCTTTATCTCTTTATTTTTTAGGTTTTATTATGTATATGTGTGAGTGGCTGCATATATGTATGTACACCACATGTATGACTGGTACCTGAGGAACCTAGAGGGGGGAGTCGGCTCTCCTGGCACTGGAATTACAGGCAGTTTTGAGCCATCGTGTGAGTACTGAGAACTGAACCCAAGTCTTCTGCAAGTGCTCTTAACTCCTAAGCCATCTGTCCAGCCCCAAGGTTTCTTTTTAGCTCAGAAAGTAGGTAATTTATTAGATGTTAATCCACTGTAAATGACAACCAATATTTTACACACTACTTTTCTTCAGAAAACTGGGGGGGGGGGGGTCCTTACACCCTCTAATAGTCCACAGCTGCAAATGGAAAGCAGGGAGACTCAGGACCAGGTAAGTTCTCACATGGGTCAGTTTCTACTTGACTGCAGAGTTCAGGACTTCTCCGATGTCAACACAGAGTCAAATGCTGTGGATAAGACCTTGCAGATTGCTTGGGCTTGCTCCTGCATTGTACAAAGAGATACAATGTTACGAATATGACAAAACACATTGTAAGGGATTCTCAAGGAAATAATGATACATCTCTAGGAAACTTAATCCAACTACATCACATTGCTTCTCCCGGAAACCTACACATCAGCACCTGCCCAGCCAGTAAACGTCTGAGATGGGCAGACAGTACTGGCTCATACTATGCCCTGAGCCTGAGAAGATGGCAGCTCACGAGTAGAGGGAGCGAGCTCTGACCCAGCCCAGATCAGTGTTGCTGGGCAGGAGCAGTTCTCAGTCTGCCTAAGTAGCTGCTGACCTGGGGTTTATTAATTCTGAGGACCGCCAGTGGGGGTGACATTTCCTCGGCCTTAGGAAGCTGTGGAAGAGTCACAGTCACCATTTCACCTGTCAAACGGGAACAAACCAAGGTGTCTCACCAGGCTGTTACACTGGTAAACCCACAGGCTGTATTCTTCCTTGCTTGCATCCGTGGTCTTGAGTGCCAGCAAGCTCTTGCCCGCTCCCAGGCCATCGTCATAGCACACCATCCGGATGATTAGATATAGGGCATGCCTGTGCAGAACACCCTGTGGAGATCACAAGTCCTTCAGGAAGCTGGGGCATGGCTGTCAGTGTTCCTAGTTCTCAGGGGAGTATGTTCTTCCCATGCAGAATGAATTGGGGGGAAAGAACTACAGTTTCTCAGAACAATGGTATGCCTAGTTATGGGATGACTTGCTCTCAGGGTCACACTTTCCTGTTTAAACCAGAGAATTAGGAACAAGGTCATCTAACTGACCTCATCTCTGGCCTCTACACCAACCAACAGTGAGGGGGGGGGGGGGGGAGTGGGGGGTGTGTCCCTACATGAAACACCATGTATGTTGGGAACACAAAGAAGGTCATGTTGGCCCTAAGGAATGGGCAGAGCTTAACAACAGCCACCACCCAGGACACAGGAGACCCAAGCCCGAGTGCACCCTGAAAGGCTGGGACTCTGGGTTTCCTAGAATGTACTTACATGCAGATCCGTGGTTGAGACTTTTATGCCGTACTTAGAAACACCCAGAATAAACTCCTCCTCCAGGGGAACAAAAGGCAACTTTCCATCTTGCTGTAAAGTGGAAGTAAACCACAGCACACACATGAAAATGACATGACCATCTTAAGTTAGACTGGTTGCTTCTGTTACCACAGCCTCAGACCCTTTAGACTCAGTCTACACAAGCACTTGTCCCAAATTCAGACTGATCCTCTCCCGTGTACTATCCTGTCCTTTTGTGATATAAACCCTAATGGCAAATGGAGAGCCTAGCCACAGATCTTGGTGACATTAAAATATTTACATTATTAAGCCACACAAGCTTTTAGTCCTAGCACCCAGGAGCAGAGGCAGAAGGATCTCGTGAGTTCAGGGCCAGCCTGGACTGTAGTTAGGATAGCCCGGACTATGTACCTTGTCTCAAAACAAACAAAATTTACACTACTTAGATTTGCAAATCCTCAAAGCTTATCTTAGTATCAGTACAGGGAACGGTCAGGAAGTTGGATAGCAGGTGCCATCTTTCTCACGGTCATTTTCTGTCTGACTGCTGAGATACATCTTGCTAACTATGGATCCAGGAGCTCAGAAGGACAAGCTGTTGACAAATCAACTCTGCTCATAAAACTATCTATCAACAGTCTGAGCTGTTCAGAAACAAAACAGTGGGTGATAACTAAATAATCATTGCCCATTCCAAGCAGATCAACTGGTCTCATCTACCTAAGAATGCTGCCTAATTTGTCTTCTCTCAAGAAAGATATTACTGGCAGGTAATAGGTGTTCTGCATTGTACATGTTTTCATGGGATGAAGAATTACAGTAATTGAGGCATGGCCAGATGCATCAGTCCTTGGCCCTCCCAGTATCAGTAACACCCTGCCGATCTTCTCACAGATTTAAGACTGAAAATAATGGTACTGTCAATAATGACTTTGGGTTCTCTATGTTGTCCTGGCTGTCCTGGCCCTTGCTGTACGAACCACGATGGCCTTCAACTCACAGAGAATCTCCTGAAGTGTAAGGTAAATGTAGAGATTTTATAATTTTATGTTATACACAGTACAGTATTATCTTTGTTTTTCTATTTTTGCAAGGTACATATTTTAATGTCTGTGGGTGTTTGCCTTTATGTATGTATGTGTGCCATGAGCATGCAATGCATGCCTGAGGAAGCTGGAAGAGGGGGTTGTGCCCCTGGAGCTGCAGTTATGGATGACTATGAGTTGCCGTCTTCGTCCTGGCAACAGAACCTGGGCCCTCTGCAGGAGCAGCCATTGCTCTTAATCACCAAGCTACCTTTCCAGCTCTGCAATGGTTATTATTTTTTTTTTTCATTTTACTTTCCTGACATGAGTATACTTTTGAAGCCCCTCTCACCTTAATTCTTGTTGGAAATGAAGTATAAAAAAAGAAGATACAAACTGGGCGTTGGTGGCGCACACCTTTAGTCCCAGCAGTCAGGAGGCAGAGGTAGGGGGATCTCTTGAGTTCAACGCTAGCCTGATCTAGAGTTCCAGGACATCCAGGAATACACAGAGTAACCCTGTCTGGAAAACAACAAAAGAACAACAGAAGATATTTTTGTCCATGTCATGAGTTTTTAAACCAGTGAAACCAGTTCAGCAGAGTAAGGTTTTGGCCGATTGTTTTACAAGAATCTACCATCTAAGCTGTGACTGCATTAAGTTCTTCAGTAAACCAGACCAGTCAAACACAAGAGGTAAAAGTTCTATGCCTGGATAAAGACACTCTCCTGTGAGGCTTCCCTCCCCAGAGGACCTTGCATGGTCTACAACTCAGTGCTGTCCCAGGATGAGACACAGGCTTCAGCCAAATACAGTGAGTACCCTACAGGAGACCCAAGGGAAACATTTTCCATCAAGGCCACACACTCAGCACCATCACAACCCCACACACTCAGCACCATCACAACCAGAGGCTTCCATTGGAATCCATTTTGTTCTGCCACTCACCTGGGCAACATCTATATAATTTATCAGGTCTAGTGGTCCCTGAAGACTCTTCCCCTGAGACAGGTCCAGTTTCTCGATGGCACCAACATACTTTATTCGAAACTCGGCACATGTGTCTAAATTGTTGCTTTGCCCTAAGATAACAACAGACTTGAAAAGCAGTGTCTACTTTACAGAACATTTTCTTTCTTTCTTTCTTTCTTTTTTTAAAGAGATTTAATTGCATTTTACGTGTACAGGTGTCTTACCTACATCTACACAAATGTAATGCAATGCCTGAAAAGGCCAGAAAAGGGTGCTGGATCGCCTGGACTTGGAGTTGCAGACAGTAGGGAGCTGCCATGAGGTTGCTGGGAACTGAACCAGGGCCCCTTCTGCAAGAGTAGCTGGTGCTCCTAACCTCTCAGCCATCTGGAGCCCATTTCATTTTGAAACAGACTCTCCCTCTGTTTGCCAGGATGGTTTAAAAGCACAGAGAGCTACCTATCCCAGTCTCCTAGAGTGCCAAGATTAAAGGCACACTCCACCACGTTAGCTATTTATTTATTTAGTTATTTATTTATGCTGGTTTAAGGCAGGTTTTCACCATCTAGCTCTGGCTAGCCTGGAAATTACCAAGTAGACTAAGATGGCCTCAAGCTCATAGAGATTCACCTGCTTCTAAGCACTTGGATTAAAGGTGGACACCACTATGCCTGGCTCTACACACAGTTTCTTAGTTACAAGTTTCTAAATGAAAGATTTCTTGATACAATAGAGAAGAATGTCAAATTCTACTGAGCTTTTCCTCAGGGCTGGCCACACCAGATGTATAAAAGCCTTGATGACAGGGGCACATGAACACTGGTAACCTTCATTTCAACACAAGCAAAATCTAAAAGCCAACTAGATAGTGAATGGCAGCTTTACGATGCATAACTATACCTTTTGGTTCCTTTTACTTCATCCCATGATTCGGGACACATTCAGTCAGAGATAACAACTTCTTTTTTAAAAATATGTGTAGAATAATGTTAGAAGTCCCTTAACAGATGGCAACAAAATCCAGCCAGTTCAGAAACTGCCTCAAACCACTCCTGACACCTGCCATGCTATGGAAGTGCAGTGCAATTGCATTGACACCGTGAAAACAATGCCAACTTTTCACACCCAGAGGTAAAGATAATGAATTTTATGTGACATCATTTTAGGTAAAATGAAAATGAAAAGAGTGTATTTCCAATTATCAGCTATTTATAGAGCTTGGTTAAGAGTCTCCTAGTTTCTAAGGCGCTACCAATTTCAGGCAGTTGTGTAACTAACTGCACATGTCTTGGACACATGTCCTCATTACGTGTGTCCTCTGCCATCTCAACCAAGGTGTCTGGAAGCAGCCCTTGAGATTAATGGTTCCTTTTTTGTTTTTTGAGACAGGGTTCTTCTGTGTAGCCTTGGCTGTCCTGGAACTTGCTCTGTAGAGCAGGCTAGCCTCGAACTCACAGAGATCCACCTGCCTCTGCCTCCCAAATGCTGGGATCAAAGGCGTGTGCCACAAACACCCAACCTAAACCCTTCTCCACTAACACATCTGTCCCACACTCAAAACCATTTAAGTCCAAGTGTAACCCAGTCCCTGCTACCTATTAAAATGCTTGCTGTCAGACCTACTGAGAGCACTTTGCCTAAGTGCCTCTGGCAAGCTCCTACCACACTACACTTTTGCCCATCTCACCAAGTTTCAGAACTTTCCAGAAGTGGCAGTTGGGAGGAAGAAAAACCAGGGTAGGAGGCCTTGCTCTGCCACACAAGACCACGAGAGTAAACACAAGAGCAATCACCAAGTCACCTGTTCCCCTCGTACCTGAGCTTTTGGTGGAGTCAGTATCGAGGCTGGCAACAGTGCTGGATCTCGAAAGACCCCCAAGGCTGGAATCCATGGACTGAGAAGAAACACAGTAAGTCATACATCTCTCTGATGCAAATTACTTATTAAGCTGAGGGGGACACAATATCTGGTTAGTTATTAAAGCAGACTGACCGTAGCCAAAGACATTTTCCACAGCAAACGTCAAAAGCCACATGACACATGATGTTGGTATCTTCAATCTAAGGCTTAGCCATCAGCTCCCAACTCCTAATTTTTGTGACCTCCTCCTCCTGCTGTCCTGTTATTTCCATGGAACCTCAGAACAACCTCATGCATAAAGCCAGTCACAATCAATGTCCCTGTCCCTGTCCAACACTGAGAGGAAACCAAGTAAGTCTCCCCGTTCCTAATCTGGCCCTCGGCAATTACTCCCTCTAGTTTCTGGTACACAGCATGGCAGTCCTTGTGAACAGAACAACAAACCTGGTAGCCAAATTTAAAACTGTGCAATTAGTTCACTGGGCTCTACTGTCGGTGTTGTTCATGTCTGTAGAAAAGGCATTCTGGTAAAGCCCTGACTTAGAATGTCAGTGTTCCACAAATCCACTGGCACTGCCAGACTACCGTCAGTCTGACACATGGAGCTTAACCAATCCTGGGGAAGGAAATACTGTTGAGCACATAAACCCTGAACTCTGAGAGATCTCACCTCTCTATGTCTGCAATTTCTTTTCTTTCCTTTTGGTTTGTTTGTTTGGGACAGGGTTTCTCTATGGCTTTGAAGCCTGTCCTGGAACTAACTCTGTAGACCAGGCAGGCCTCGAACTCACAGAGATCTTCCTGCCTCTGCTTCCCGAGTGCTGGGATTAAAGGCGTGCGCCACCACCGCCTGGACTATGCCTGCAATTTCTATCATTTAAAAATAACATTTTATGGATTGCTGAAGGTACAGCTCTTCTGAGTTCAGTTCCTGGTGCCCACAGCAACTCAGAACCCACCTTAACTCCAGTTTCTGGGTTCCAATGCCTTCTTTTAGACTCTGTATGTAGCTACAGTCACCTGCATAACCTCCCCATATATGTACAAGTAACTGAAAAAAATTTAGAGCCAAGCATGGTGGCCCATACCTGTAATTCCAGCACATAGGAAGTGAAGAGTCAGGAGATGAAGGTTATGCTTCAGGACTCCTTGCTGTGAGTTTGAGACCAGTCTGAGCTACCTGAGACCCTATTTGAAGGATGAGGAGGAAAAAGGAGGCTACATACGGGTCAATGAGGTAAGGGCACTTGTTGCCCAAGCCTGACAAGATGAGTTCAGTCCCCACAGTCCATATGATGGAAGCTGTGGTGATCTGAATAGGTATGGTCCCCATTGAGCCATGAGTTTGAATGCTTGGCCCATAGGAGTGACACTTATCTAGAAGTGTGGCCTTACTGGAGGAAGTGTGTCACTGTGGAGGTGGGCTTTGAGGTCTTATATGCTCCAACTACACCCAGCCATAGTTCACTTCCTGCTGCCTGTGGATCCAGATGTAGAGCTCTCAGCTCCTTCTCCAGCACCAAGTCTGTCTGTGTGCTGCCATGCTCCCTGCCATGACAATGATGCACTAAACCTCTGAACTGTAAGCCAGCTCCAATTAAGTGTTTTCTTTCATAAGAGCTGCCGTGGTCATGGTGTCTCTTCACACAGTAGAAGCCCTGACTAAGGCAGAGACCTATAACCAACTCCTGCCAGTAGCCCATCTGACCTCCACACATGTGCAGAGACACCTCAATCCCTCAAACACAAAGTTTAAAAAAGACCTTTTTAATCTTAAATCAGTGTGCTTTAGTGAGATCACTCATAGCTTTAGTCCCATTTAGTTGAGTGAATTTAAGAATTTCAGTAAATTACCAAAACTGTAAAATTAGAGCAAGCCCAGAGTGTCAGGTGAGGTGAATAACCAGGACATGGTGTGGGCAGCACCGAGTGCCGTCCTCAGTGCTCTGAGCCTCTGTCTGTCTGTCCCTGTTCTCCTACCTTGCTCTTCATGCTGACTTCACTGCTCTGGGAACTGCTGCTGCTGTGTCGCTTCTTGCCTTTGCGAAACATCTTTCACCATAGCTTGATCCAGAGACGCCGCCCTGGAGGAAGGAGTGTTTCCAGTGTTGTCAAGAAGAGCAGCATCTGGCCAGGCGGTCATGGCACACGACTTTGATCCCAGCACTCGGGAGGCAGGGGCAGGCGGATCTCTGAGTTCAAGGCCAGCCTGGTCTACAGAGTGAGTTGTAGACCAGCAAGGGCTACATAGATCAGGTCTCACAAAACCGAAAAAAAGTACAAGGAAAGGACACTCGACTGCAGATCATGTTCCGCACAGCACAGACAGAAACCACCAGCCCTTTCCAGGTCTGTGGGTGCATTGTTTTTACTTCCCTTGGATGCTGTTCTTTTTCATCCCTTTCTTCTGTTGCATTATACAGTGCTGCTCTGGGAATGTGGCTGTGTGGTTCAGCACTTGCCTAGCAATGTGTGAGAGCCTGGCTTCAATTCCTACTGTTCCCTCAAAGACTTTACAGAAGGGCTGGAGAGTTAGAGCGCCTGTTGCTCTTCTAGAGGACCTGGGTTTGGTTCCCAGCACTGACATCAGGTGGCTCACAACCACTCCAGCTCTAGCTCCAGAAGATCCAATGTACTCTTCTGGTCTCTGACGGCACCTGCATACCTATGGTGTATACACAAAGACACACATGCACATTAGAAACATGTATACATACAATTTACAAAGAAAAACAGGGCAGAGAGTTGGCTCAATGGTTAAGAGCAGTTGCTGCTCTTACATTTTGAGGCAAGGTCTCTCTGGCCCCGCTGGCCTTGAACTCAATGTATGACCTAGGATGACCCAAACTCCTGGCCCTCCCACCTCTACCTCTAGGATGCTGAGATTACAGGCATGCATTGCCTGTCCTCTTCCACATCCCATGGGACTGAATCCTGCTATGCAGCCCAGGCTAACCCTGAACTCATGATTCTCTTGTCTGAGTTTCTAAGGGCTGGGATGACAGGCAGAGACTGCCATGCCTTGTGAAATGATCACTTTTCTTTTTGTAGAGACAAGTCCTAAGTAAAAAGGTGACATAAAAGGCACTCTCAGGTGTCAGCTCCTCACCTCCCTGCAACAAGAGCGAGCTTGTGTAGATGAGGGAGTCTTGACCCAGGTTTCAACTTGGAGTTTTTGAAAAAGCAATCTAAACACATTTTACCCAAACCCAATCTCTATAGATCATGCTTATCCCAGAACCAAACACTTACTTGTGTTGTTCTCCAAGGTTCTACACAGCTTCCCCTTCCCCTGATGTGCCCAATCCTTCCCAGGCTGAACAGTGGACCTAGCAGAGGAAGAGAACCCAGAAGTGGGTAGAGGACTACAAACAAGCTCAGGGTTTCTGTTTGTCCTTGTAGAACCCCCTCTCAGCCCACCTTCTAGGCTACCTGCCATGGCAGCCTGAGCATGAGAGTTTAGTCAGCCTCTCATTGCTTACTTTATTTGAAGCAAGAAGGACTGACTCATTCAGTCAGTAGGCACTGTGGTGGTTGGAAAGAAAATGGCTCCCTCAGGAAGTGGCACTTTTAGGAGGTGTGGCCTTGTTGGAGGAGGTGGGCTTGAGGTCTCCCATGCTCAAGATACTGCTCATTGTCTCAGACCATTTCCTGTTGCCTGCTACTTCTCCAGCACTATGTCTGCCTGAACACTGCTATGTCCCATCATGACGATGATGGACTAAACCTCTGAACTGTGAGATACCCTAATTAAATGTTTCCCTTTATAAGAGTTGCCGTGGTCATGGTGTCTCTTCACAGCAATAGAAACCCTAAGACAGGCAGTAAGCACCTAGGTGCTGTGGACAAAGCTGACCTTGGGGTGGGCGTGCTGTGTGTCCAATTTTAGTGGGAGTGAGAAGATCAATAAGTATAACTCAACTATTAGAGAACTATAATTCCCATGAGGAAAACTAGAAGAGAAAAGGATGGGTAGGGGCAGGGGAAAGAGTGTCCAAGGCCAGGCAGGCCACCAAAAAGCATGGTGTGAGTGTAACAGTATACAACGGTGTTTCCAGAGCAGTCAAGGACAGGGTTAGTGTTGTGCTTTACAGACCCTCAATGGGCGCCCACTATGGAACTAACTGCCTGGAGTGAGAGCAAGGGAGTGAAAGGTTATTCAACTACCGTGCAGAAGTTGTTGCAAAGGAATACTCCACATCAAATGACACCTGCGGTCAGGAGAGCCTCAGCACTGGGCCTTTGCCAAACTAGGCTGACCCAGCAGCACCATGGAGTAGCCTGTGATAGTTAAAGTGCTGGTTGATGACATCCCTAGACACATTATATTTTAGTGCAGGCCTCTTGGTATCTATAGATGATCGGTTCCATAACCACACAAAATGCCTATAATCTACACCCACCCGCTTTAAATCACTTCTAAATTATTTAGTGTAACTAGGCAAGCACTCTCCACATTATATCTGATGTAAGTGCTACAGAAACAGTTGATGTGGCGTATTGTTTAGAAAATAATGATAAGGGAAGGGCTCCACTTTTTGGTACAGTGGAACGTTGGTCTTCTTTTCACAATGCAGATTTAGAAATGTGGTGCAGGGTCCTGGTGGCGCACACCTTTGAACCCAGCACTCAGGAGGCAGGCAATCTCTGTGTTCAAGGACAGCCTGGTCTACAGAGTGAGTTCCAGGATAGCCAGGGCTACACAGAGAAACCATGTCTCAAAAAAAAAAAAAAAAAAAAAAAAAAAAAAAACAACCCAAACATTAAAGCAGTGAGTATGTGGGATTGAGAACCCATTAGATTTGGAGATATGATTACATATATAAATGAATACTTACATATTAATTTTTAAAAAGTTACTTAAAAATAAAATCTGGTTCTATTGTTAGTAGATTCCTGAAGCATACCCACAAACCCTTGGCAATGATTTGAATATCACTATGACCTTTGCAACATCTTTCTTCCCAGCATCAATCCAGGAACTTGAAGGGAAAAGAATTGGTTAGTCTTTGGTATCTAGTGCTTTTCTAGACACGTGTATTTAAGCAAATTATTCTTGCTTCCAAATTATTAATGCATAAAAATGAGCTGGGGGATGCTGTCTGTCATCTAGATGTTACAGGAGTTCATCAAATGCAAAACTATCGAAGGCTGAACATACCACCCTCCCTCCAGATGTGCTCCTCCCTCATCTCTCCTACTCAGGCAATTAAGCAGTCACTGATAGAAACCAGAAAACCATCAATCCCTCACCACTCTTCAGCCTCCAATTACACACCAGGACCCCTGAGTACATTGTAGAACCCTCCGCCATGGCTATAACTGAAAGACCCCCACTATGCTTATTGCCTGTTTAAATTGCTCTTGCTAATTTGCCAAGGTCAAGTTATGAAAAAAGTACAGGAGGGAACCAGGTGCTGCTCTCATCCAACGCCAACCAGATATCTGTGGTCTGCAGCTTGGACTAAAGCAAGGTCAGCAAGACAGTGTCCAGTATGCTGAGATAGTCATAACTGAATTCTTTGTATTCTTTGTGCCCAACCCGAATAACCAACTGTCCTTGGTTAACTACAACTGCTACATTTAGATGAAACAATGAATTCCCTGTAACCATGCTTCTGCTTCTGTAAGCCTGCTTCTTGCTACACCAACCTTATATAAACTGCATATGCTTTAATCAGGCACGCTCTCTCAGTCTCTCAAAAGACTGGGGCGTCCATAGGTACCTGTGTGTAAATAATAAACAACCTCTTGCACTTGCATCCAGTGGTCTGGTCTCGTCTCTTGGGGGCAAGGGCCTTCCCCCTGACAGGCTCCAAACTCTTGGGGTCTCTGGGGGTCTTTCATTGGAGGTCCCACCGAGATTGGAGACCCTTCCCCCTAGAGACTGACACTGACACCCACCGGGAGGTAAGCTGGCCAGCGCTTAATTTCTGTTCTTTGTTGTCTTGTTCATATGTCTTTTACTTGTTGCTTGTTGCGCAGCGATCGGTAATCGGCTAGGCTAGTCGAGTCTGTAGGCGGCTTGAGAAGGAGCTGACGAGCTCGGACTTCCACCCGCCACCCTGGGAGACGTCTCAGGGATCTGGGGTGCCCGATTTTTCGGGGCCCACAACGAGTCCCAGGGATTCGTGGTTTTGGGGGGCCCAGGGGGCTTAAGATCCTCTGTGCCTCCAACTCAGTATCTGGTTTCGGTTTTACGCAGCCGCGCAGCGTGTCTTTATGCTGGCTGTCTATGTGTTTTGTCTGTTCTGTTTATCTGTCTGATTCTTTATTTCGAAGAAAATATGAAACAATATTTAACCACCTCCTTAAGTTTATTTTAGATCATTGATGATGTACAGAGCCGAGCTCACAATCAGTTGGTTAAAAAAAAAAAAACTGTGTCGGACTCCCTGGTAGCCAGCTGACTCCGAGATCAAAGGGAGCCAGCCACCGAAGGAACCTGCTGAGCCTTTCCCCTGCGCCAGGCTGCTGGATTAGGAGGCCCAGGGTAGATCGAGACCAGTGTGCCTACTGCAAAGAAAAAGGCCATTGGGTCAAAGATTGCCCTAAGAGACCTAAAACTCAGAGGCGTGGAGACGGACTCCCAAAGACCAACTCAGCTTCTAGCCCTAGATGAAGACTAGGGCAGTCGGGGCCAGGAGCCCCCTCCCCCAGCCCAGGCTAACCTTAAAAGTCGGGGGGCAGCTAGTCACCTTCCTGGTGGACACTAGAGCCCAACATTTAGTTCTCACCCGAAACGAACGGGCCATTGAGTACCAAAACAGCTTGGGTACAAGGAGCCACCGGAGAAAAACAATACCGATGGACCACGGAGAGAAAAGTTCATCTCGCATCAGGTAAAATCTCACATTCCTTTTTGCATGTACCGGACTGTTCATATCCATTACTGGGTCGAGATCTACTGACTAAATTAAAAGCCCAGATCCATTTTGAAGGACCAGCAGCTAAAGTCTCTGGCCCACAAGGGGCTCCACTTAAAATATTGACTTTACAATTGAAAAATGAATATAGACTTTTTGAAAAGCCTCCTGAACAGCAGGAAGAAATGGACTTATGGTTAAAACAACACCCCCTGGCCTGGGCAGAAACAGGGGGCATGGGCTGGCCATACAACAGCCACCCCTAATAATAACCCTGAACCCAGCCACCTTGTTACCACTGCTGGAGGAACCAGCCTCCCATGACTGTCAGCAGATCCTTGCAGAGATGCATGGAATGTGGCCTGATCAGCCCTTGAAAGATGCAGACTACACCTGGTTCACAGATGGCAGCAGCTACTTGCTAAATGGTGAGAGACAGGCAGGGGCTGCAGTGACGAATGCCTCAGAGGTCATATGGGCCACTGCACTCCCCGGAGGCACCTCTGCTCAGCGAGCTGAACTCTTTGCTCTGACTCAGGCTCTCCAGATGGCAACAGGTAAGAAGCTTAATGTGTACACTGATAGCCGGTATGCCTTTGCCACTGCCCATGTCCATGGAGAAATTTATCGGAGAAGGGGCCTTTTAACATCAGAAGGCAAAGAAATCAAAAATAAAAATAAAAATCTTGACATTATTAAAGGCCCTGTTCCTTCCTAAAAAAATTGAGCATAATGCATTGCTCTGGACATCAAAAGGGGGAAAGCCTGGAGGCAAAAGGAAATCGCCTGGCTGATGAAGCAGCCAAACAAGCAGCCTTAGGCCCCCAACTATTGACTATAAGCATATTGACTGAAAAGGAAACGGCTAAGACTCCAGATTGGGACTATGATGAAACGGATTTGGACATTGTTCAGAAACTAGGTGCAGATTATGACCCCAATCGACAATGCTGGGTCTACCAAGGAAAGACTATACTGCCTATAAAAATGGCAAAAATGTTAATAGACCACCTCCATAAGCTGACTCATTTGAGTGCCAAAAAGATGAAAACTTTGCTAGATAAACAAGAAATTGGAACTTACCTTCCCAATCGGAATTTATTACTGGAACAAGTAACTGCTAACTGTCTGGCCTGTGCCCAGATTAACCAAGGAAAAACCAAACTGGATCCTGGAACCCGGCTTTGTGGCCATAGGCCTGATGTCCATTGAGAAATAGACTTTACTGAAGTCAAACCTGGAATATATGGTTATAAATATTTACTGGTTTTTATAGACACCTTTTCAGGATGGGTGAAAGCGTTTCCTACCAAACATGAGACTGCAAAAATGGTCACCAAGAAACTATTGGAAGAAATCTTTCCCAGATATGGGATGCCACAGGTAATAGGATCAGACAATGGGCCTGCCTTCGTCTCCCAGGTAAGTCAGCTGGTGGCCAGGTTGCTGGGGATAAATTGGAAATTACATTGTGCTTACAGACCCCAGAGTTCAGGACAGGTAGAAAGGATGAATAGAACTATTAAGGAGGCTTTATCTAAATTAACGCTTGAAACTGGCTCTAAGGACTGGGTGCAACTCCTACCTCTGGCCCTCTATCGGGCCAGAAACACTCCAGGCCCTCATGGCCTAACTCCCTTTGAAATACTATATGACAGTCCACCGCCAGCTGTATCATTCTTTGATGCTGACATTTCTGATTTTGCAAACACCCCTTCCATACAGGTGCATCTATGAGCCTTACAGATAGTCCAAGAAGAGGTCTGGAAACCTCTGGCGGCCGCATCCCGGGAGGAACAAAGAACCTCTTGTCAGCCCCACTCTTTCCAGATTGGCGATTCCGTCTGGGTTCGGAGACATCAGACTAAGAACTTAGAGCCCCACTGGAAGGGCCCCTACACTGTGCTCCTGACAACTCCCACCGCCCTGAAAGTAGACAGGATTGCTGCCTGGATGCATTTTAAATAGACTGGTACTGTTCAAAAATACACACACACACTTGTCAGTTGTTCAGGCCCTAGTTTTGACCCAGCAGTACCAGCAATTAAAACAAATGAAAACTGAAAAACCATGAATAAAGGGTTTTATTCATTTTATAGAAAAGGGGGGAATGAAAGACCCCCACTATGCTTATTGCCTGTTTAAATTGCTCTTGCTAATTTGCCAAGGTCAAGTTATGAAAAAAGTACAGGAGGGAACCAGGTGCTGCTCTCATCCAACGCCAACCAGATATCTGTGGTCTGCAGCTTGGACTAAAGCAAGGTCAGCAAGACAGTGTCCAGTATGCTGAGATAGTCATAACTGAATTCTTTGTATTCTTTGTGCCCAACCCGAATAACCAACTGTCCTTGGTTAACTACAACTGCTACATTTAGATGAAACAATGAATTCCCTGTAACCATGCTTCTGCTTCTGTAAGCCTGCTTCTTGCTACACCAACCTTATATAAACTGCATATGCTTTAATCAGGCACGCTCTCTCAGTCTCTCAAAAGACTGGGGCGTCCATAGGTACCTGTGTGTAAATAATAAACAACCTCTTGCACTTGCATCCAGTGGTCTGGTCTCGTCTCTTGGGGGCAAGGGCCTTCCCCCCTGACAGGCTCCAAACTCTTGGGGTCTCTGGGGGTCTTTCATAACCAGCCCCACATCTTTGCTGGATTAATAGCATTCTTTTCAGCACAAACATGATGAATTTCAATCTAGAAAATGCCCAAGTACGAAGTTTGATACATTTAAGGAACCCACAACTCCATTGAAGAAACTTGAGAATAAAGTCTTTACCTTAGAAAAAAACAAAAACAAACAAACCAAAAAACTGTGTGTAGGAGCAGGATCCCCCGGAGCTGGTGGCAAGCTACTGGACATGGGTGCTTGGAACCGAACTTAGATCCTCAACAATAGCAAGCAGTACAGCTTCTTAACTACTGAGCCAACTCTCTGGTTAAGTGATCTTGTCCTACAGGATTTGAGGATCTAAGACCTGCTCTCGCATTTTAGCCAAAAAGATGACAAAGATTTCTTTCAAGCCCGGGTCAAAGAGCACTTTTAGTGCAGGAAAGCTTTCACTGAATCCCCACAATAATGGACTAAAGAAGGTCAAATCTCAGTTCATCGGTCAGGAATGCAAAGCCGCTTTGGTTCTTAGCGGTAAGCTCCTTGTGTGCTCTTACGCTCCGCTCTAACTTCCCTCCCTCAGAACTCTTCATTTTATGTCCTTTGGCAGCTACCTGCCTCTCACAATTTCCTTCAGGCCTCTTCTAAGAAAGCTTTCCTTGGATTTCCAGGTTGGACTAAAGGACCCACTGCTTGAATGAACATCAGATTCACAGCATTAAAATATGCTATCCAACTAGTCCAAGGCGGGGCTGGGGTTGCTCTCAGTGGATAGACAGGCTAGCGGAGGGTTCTGAGAATTACCTTGGGAGATGATAGGCAAAACACAACTAGTACTAAACATCCAACATCACCAAACGCAACCAGGCACTCCAGAAAGCGCTAGCTCTCACTCCCGCCCAGGAGAATCAGCCGGTCCCCAGGGTCATCTGCGCCTCCGGGGTAGTGGGAACGCCCAGCTGCGCACACACGAGGCCGCCAAACCCAGACTCGATAACTTCCCCACTTCAGAAAGTTAACTTGGGAACCCAAACAAAAGCAGGCTTCCAAAGCAAAGCTCTGCACACAAGCTCCCACAAGCAGAGGTGCAAACAGCCGACGCCAAACCCAGTGTCGGGGTGCAGCAGCAATCCGAGGGAGGCCTCAGGGCCCTTTCTGAGCCTGGTCCCCGGGGAGGCGGGCGGCGGACCTGTCACGGGAACACGGGTCCCTCCCTGACCGGGCACCGAGGCTCCTCTTCCTCTCCCCGGTTTGCACTCAGTCGGTGCCTCCGCCTCGGGACGTGGGGTGGGGGACGGGTGCTCCGGGAGACCCCTCCCTCCCTCCGCCCGCACCGCACCGCCCGGCCCGATTCGGTTCTCACCTCGCCGCCTGTGTTCGGCCCCGGGCCTCCCGCGCTTCGCGGGGTGTGAAATGGTCCGCCGCCGGCGGTAGGGCGGCTCCTCCGGTTTGCAATCCAGCTCCAGCTTTGCCAATTCTCCTGCCCTGGTCCTCTAGGCCACGCCCCGGCCCCGTGCAGGCGCAGTCTTTAGGCCTCGCCTCCGGGTTCTAATCGCGCGGAGAGGAACCTGAGGGGCCTTGGTCTCCGACCGGAAGTTGAAGAGACGAGCCCAGCTCTGGGCGCACTAGTGCGCCGGAAGTTGTGTGTGGGTGGTCGGGGTTTTTTCCTTTTTAGTTCGCCGAGGCTGTGCTTTCAGTTTAGAGCCTGCGGCGTCGGGTTCCTTGTCCGCGCCGATCCTGAGACTACCAGGATGTCCGCGATCCCTGCAGAGGAGAGCGACCAGCTGCTGATCCGACCCCTGTAAGGGACAAGCTAGAGAGGGAGTGAAGGCCCCGGATGTGTGAGAGCCTGGAGGGGTTGTCTCCTGCGGGTCCGGCTCCCAGGCTCACGGGGTTTGGAGAATGTTCCGAGGGGCCTGCTAGATTCAGTGTCATTTTACTTTTCCTTCCGTCTCAGGGTAGGGTATGTCGGAGTTGGGGGGAAAAAAAAACCCAGGTCCTTGGGCGCTTTCATAAAGAAAGGGTTGCCAATTAGCACGAGTCTGGATCTCACACCAGCTCACGCCTTGAGGGAACCGGCAGGTACAGGGGGACAGTGCAAGGGAGGGCTGTGTCTGTCTAATTATCTCTGGGACCCTACACGTGCTCGGATGGCCGGGGTAGTAAAGACGTGGTATGAGTGTGTATACCTTCAGAGCTCAGACCTTCGCAGAGGGTGAGAGGAAATTACAGAGGAGAAAGCAGAGGTGTCAGGGGGAGAGATTCAGCTCTACGTTAGCATAAAAGACTGGCTTTAGTGGCGGTGGCTTTCAGCGTTCTGCAGTGTTTGCAGAGAATTGCCTCACGCGTGTAAAGGTGAAGAAAGTATCGGTACAGATGCGCTGCGCGATTTGACGCCACACACGATTATTGCTCAGTTTTAGATACTAGCTAGCACCACATGAATGTGAGCATTTTTCAGAAGATAGAAACTACCTCCTTTACCCATTTATTAAGATTTACTAAGCACTTACTGAATGAGTGCACCCAAGTGTCCCTGCTGCCTCCCCCAGATAACACTAAGCAAGTATCAAATAGGGCTGAGTTCATGACTACACTCCTTTGGTGAATTTTAGAGCAGGTGCTGGGATGAATCTGTAAAAACAGACAGCTACTGTGGAGTCAGACCTGAAACCAGCCTCGCTATATGGTAGGGAAGTAGCCCCCAAGATCCCACTTCCTCCTGTGGAAACAACATGCTCTGTGAGGTGAAAAGTTCAGAATATAATGCTCCTTTGATATATGCTACAAGAAGACAGGTAGGCCTTGTACCCAGGGCCTGAAAGCCTGGAGATGGGGCTTTCTAACAGATGGAGGCAAGGATACTATGCATCCTCTAATGTGATAAATGTGTTAAAGAATTCACAGAAATTAAAGACAGTGCAGGAGCCAGTGTCCCAGGGGAACTTGAGAGTGGTCCCAGCTCGAGACCAGTTCACTGTGGTTGTGGTTAACAGCAGATGAATTGGGGCAGGCTATCAGGTCTACCTTGTTTTGTGGAATACTACTTTATTTTGCTTTTTGAGACAGGGTTTCTCTGTGTAGCTTTGTAGATCCGGCTGGTCTCAAACTCACTGAGATCCACCTGTCTCTGCCTCCCAAGTGCTAGGATTAAAGTTGTGTGCCACCACTGTCTGACCATCTTGTAAAGGACCTTTTGTAGATACTAAAGACTGAGTATTTGTTACAGCAGTTATAGTAAGCCAACAAGAGATTTGAAGCAACTCTCTAATACAGTGGGAATTACATTAAGAATGTGGCTACTCCCCTCCCCCCTTTAAAAGCACTCAGTGGGTCTTTTGCTAGTGACCCACTGAGCCGTCAATAAGGGACAGAGTAAAAGCGTCACTTTTGGGTGAAGTGGCAACATGTGTTGTTTGCTTCAATCGGTGACGTGACAAGAAAAAGAACAAACTCCAGTTCGGTAGATGACTAAAAAGATGGACTAAGTGAAGACATCTGGTAGGATGTCACTGAACTGGGCTATAACCAACCAGTAAGGTGGGGGCGATGGGCTAGAAGAATTGGGTTTCCGGAGTTCAGATGTAAAGTCTTGAGGATTTTGTAACTGCAAGATACTATCTGAAGGGTTAGTCTTGGAGCATAGGGGGTACATTCCAAACTCTGAGTAGCTAGTACAGGAGGACAGAGGGTGCAAATGGGAAAGACAGCTCATACAGCTGTGCACTTTAGGGTGTGATTTGGGGTGTGGTTTGTTTGTTTGTTTGTTTGTTTGTTTGTTTGTTTGGACATAGGTCAGGCTATGTAGCCCACACTGGCCTGGAACAGACTCATGACAGTTCTCCTACCTCAGTGTCCCCAATACTGGGATGACAGGATTGCCATCATGGTCAGCTTCAATAATTTTTAGTGTACTTGAGGAATCATCATGGTCAGCTTCAATAATTTTTAGTGTACTTGAGGAATTTATAACCTTTATTATGACTGTAGTACCTAATTCCAGAACATTTTCATTACCCTTTAAAAAAAAAAAAAAGGCCTATTAGAAATCACACTTGTTTCTCCCTAACCCTCCCCCTTAGCAACCTTCAATCTATTTTTCTTCTCTGTGGATTTGCCTTTTTGAGACATTTCATATAAATGGAATCATACAACATGAGCCCCTTGTGCTTGGTTTCTTTCACTTAGCATAGCAGAACAACAGAGGACAAGATAGACATGTTTCTTAATAGAGCTACCATTTTAAAAATATGTGACATGTTCCATAAGTGAATGTATCTATGTTATGCCTCAGTGATGTGGGATGGCAGATTGAGGCTTGCAATAAAGGATACATTAGAATAGGAAGTCAAGAAAGGGTCTGAGAAGGTGAAACCTGAACTGAAACTCAGATGATCTAAAGGAGCCAGTCGTGTCAGTGGCCAAGAGCAGAGCATTCCAGGAAGAAAGCCGGTCTAGGAGCTTCTGAAAACTAACTTGCCATATTGAACATGCAGTACCTGGCAGATACCCCAGTAAAGAGGCTTAAGCACCAGGTACATGTATCAAAGGTCTAGAAATCAGAACAGTCTGGGCTGCAGATACGTAGTCTGAAGCCAGCAGCTTTGTCAGACACTTGAGTGTAAAGACCATGAAGTTGGGAAGAGGTCCCAGGAGAAACTTCAGAATATTAGCATTCAGAGGCTAGAGAGAGCCAAGGCAGATAGATGAAGTGGAAAAAATGGGAAAGCCTAGCGAGACACACCCGAGTGTGGAGTCAGAGACGCTGTTAAGTGCTTGAAGGAGCTCTTAAACAACGGAGGTAATAGCTGCCAAGTAGATCAGTTAGATTAAGTAGAGCTGCTTGTACTTAGTATCGAGGACAACCTCAGAAAGGTAGCTGGGAACAGCTGGTGAATGGAGAGGAAGGAGGGGAGGAAATGCAAACAGACAGGCTGTAGGGAAGCTGGCATAAGAAGGAAATGGGAGTTCATGTAGATAAGAACCCAAGAATTTTAACTAGGAACAGAAATGACCATGGAATTTATTTATCTGAGAGTCTCACTATGTATCCTTGGCTGTCCTGGAGCCCTCTGTAGGCTAGCCAGGCTGGCCTCAGATTCCCAGAACTCTACCCACCAGACAACTTTATCCTCTGTTTACAATCTAAGTGTTGGGGTTTCAGGAAAATTCCACCATCCCCCATTCTTTCTTATTCTCTTACTCTGTGGCTAGCCTGGTGTGGATGGGTATGCATGGGTCCTTCCCATGTCTGTTTGCTGCTAGACCACAAGGTCTTTGAGGTTTGATCACTGTTTCAGGCACATATCTGTCCTGGGCAGTTAGTACTACCTTGCCTAAGAACATCAAGTGGGTTGTGAGCTAGGTTTTGGGGAAACTATATCCAAGAAGCTGTTATGTTTAGCTTAAGGTGTGCCAGAAAAGGAAGGGCTGAAACCATGGGTGACCAGGCTACTTAGTACAGTGATCTCAAGATCCGAGGCTATGACATGGTAGCTTTATCTGAAACCATTGTCCTAGAAGTGTTGTGTGACTGCTCATTTCCATCTTAAACATCCCTCAGCTCCCAAGGACTCTCAAGGTGCTTCTCACCCCTTCCTACCCCTGTACTTATCCTCTGTTAGAAACTGTGGAATTGTCATCTGTCTGACTCCTAAGCAGTTTCAGTTGTGAAAGAGTTTGAATTTACTATGTTGAATGTTACTTGGGTGTAGTGAGACAGGGACTCTCTGAGCCAGGATTTACTCATTGTAGCCTCTTAGTGACACAATGTGTATGTATGTGCCACCAAACCCAACTCTGGACTGCTTTAATTGCTTTTTAATCATTTTATTTCTCCCTTTGAATGTTTGCAGTGGTGCTGGGCAGGAAGTGGGAAGATCATGCATTATTCTGGAGTTCAAAGGAAGAAAAATCATGGTAAGTATTATCAGTGTTGTTATTGCTGTTTGGTACTCAAAGTTGGACTTGGGCCTTGTGCATGCAAGCATGTGTTCTACCACTGAATCACACCCCTAGCCTGGGTAGTGATTGCTTGTATAGTCATGAAAACACTATAGCTCTGTCTGGACTGGCTGTAGCTCTGTCTGTCAGTACTGTCTGGACTGGCTATATATTGGTCTGGTCTAGTGAGCCAGTTATCTCTACAGTACCAGCTGAGAGAGGTGTGCATGTAGGTGGCCAACTCTATGTGATGAATGACTAGCACACTTGTGCTTAGGAATTGAAAGCATTAAGTGGCCTAAAAAGATACCTTGTAAGACTGTAAAACTGCCAACTAGATCTACCAGACTGTCTCTTCCACAGTCTTATACATTCCTGAAGTGTCTAGAGAGCCTGATGACCCTACCCCTTTGGGAAGACATCAAGGACTTAAGTGCCCTGAATGTATGTCAACTCTGGCCACCCCAC